CCCCTCCAGCTCCCGGAGGAGGCCCACCACCTCCTCCTCCCCTACCTGGTGCTGGACCCCCACCTCCACCTCCCCCACCTGGTGTTGGACCCCCACCCCCTCCCGGAGCTCCAAATACTCAATCTGGTGAGGCGTTTGACAGAAGAATGTGAAAAGTAGTGGAAGCTGAGCTGTAAGCAAAGGATCTTTAAAGATCTTTATGTAATCATTCATCTTCTTTTTCTGTTTCCTCAGGGCTCAAGAGCAAGAAGACAATTCAGACCAAGTTCAGGATGCCGTTGTTAAACTGGCAGGCCTTAAAACCAAACCAGGTGACAGGCACCGTCTTCAACGAGTTAGATGACGAGCAGATCTTAGGGGTAAGAACATGCATTGTCTATATTCCACTTGTACCGTCCAGAATATCCTGAGAGAAAACTCTGTTTGATATGATACCAACTTAAAAAAAAAAAAATCTCTTTTCTGCTCCCTCTCATTCTGTCTACATCAGGAGCTGAACATGGAGATGTTTGAGGAACAGTTCAAGACTAGGGCCCAGGGTAATCCAACAGACCTGTCTAATATGAAGAAGAAGGTGGTCCAGAAGGCCCCCAGTAAGATGTCCTTGATTGACCCCAACAAAGCCAAGAATCTGGCCATCACTCTACGCAAGGGAGGAATGAACCCAGCTGGGATCTGCACCGCCATAGAGACGTATGTGCTTCTGTTGCATTGCTGTCCTTTTCCTCTTTAGCGGTCTTTCTCTAACACACTATCTGATGTGTCACTACTGCTTTGTACAGGTACGACCAGTCTTTGGCCATAGACTTCCTGGAACTGCTCGAGCACTTCATACCGTCAGACTTTGAGATGAAGCTGCTGCTAAACTACGAGAAGGAAGGCCGCCCACTGGAGGACCTGACCAACGAGGACCAATTTATCTTGCGCTTCGGGAAGATTCCTCGTCTGAACCAGAGAATAAACACTCTCACTTTCATGGGCAACTTCCCAGACACGGTCAAACGGCTGCAGCCGGTCAGTTTGTCAGATGCACTGTAGCTTGAATTGGATGAGACTGAGATTTTAATCAGATGTATTGATTTTTGTTTTGGCCTCATCTGCAGCAACTGAACTCCATCATTGCTGCGTCCATGTCCATCAAGTCTTCAACGAAACTGAAGAAGATTTTAGAAGTGAGTAAAAGACAACACAACAACAACAACTCATGTGGCTTCAAAGTGTGGGATTTTGCAGAAATCACCTCTTGTGTTTCCCCTTCAGATTGTTCTCGCCTTCGGTAACTACATGAACAGCAGCAAGAGAGGTGCAGCGTACGGTTTTCGGCTGCAGAGTCTGGACCTTGTGAGTAGCGTTTAGTTTGTAGATTTACTCTGTCGCTTCAAGAAAAACCTCTATAACCAAATCAACTTTTTCGAATGTCTTTACTGTTCAGTTGTTGGAGACCAAGTCCACTGACCGCTCACAGACGCTACTTCAATTCATCACCGGTATCATCCAAGAAAAATACTCCGACTTGGCCAACTTCCACACTGACCTACACTTTGTGGACAAGGCAGCGCTTGGTACGTGCACACACACAAACGCTCACTCACTCAGGCTGTCCAGTGAAGATTGTTATATAGATCATGAATGGTACTAAACTTGTTTCTCTTTCTTTGCCAGTCTCCCTGGATAGCATTCTTCAGGATATCCGCTCATTAGAACGTGGAATGGAGATGACCAAAAAAGAGTTCCTGGTGCAGGACGACTGCCCGGTGTTGAAGGAATTCATCAAAACTAACAGTGAGCAGCTGGAAGCTCTGATCAAAGACAGCAAGACAGCACAGGTAAGCCCGCAGCTCATATGGAACTTAACACACAACTTTGAACAAAATCTTATCATGTGCTAAACCACATTCGTTCGCTTTGCCCGTCATCCTCCAGGAGGCTTACGGCTCTGTGGTGGAGTATTTCGGCGAGAACCCCAAAACTACACAGCCTTCCATGTTTTTCCCGTTGTTCGGACGTTTCATAAAGGCCTACAAGGTGAGGATGTGCGGCAGCTTTCTGATATTTATCCATCTCAGGATAATGTGTGTTTGCTTTGAATGTTAATGTTTTTTTTTTTTCTCCTGGATTGAACACAGGTAGCACAGCAACAGATTCAGCAGAAAAAGAAAATGGAGAGTGAGAGTGAGGAAAAAGAGTCGTCATCTCCCAACAAAGCTGGGGCACAAAAGGTAAGAGATTTAAGGTTCAGTGTAAACGAATGATGCATCATTAGTGGTTATAATAATGTCTTCAAAATGTGTTTTGATGTAAATTTCTTTAATTTTTTAACCTTCACTAGGGGCCTATGATGCCCAAGATGCCCCAGATGGACCTGATAGCAGAGCTGAAGAAGAGGCAGGTGAAACCGCAGGTGCGCGAAGGGAAGGACGGCGCTCTGGAGGACATCATCACAGGTACGTTAATAACGTGATGCTTCCTGGAGGAGACATGTGGGGGATATGTTAATATTACATGTGCCGTATGTTTGATATTTAAATGTGGTGGAACTTCTACCTTCATCTCCTCTGCTCTGCCTCAGATTTGAGAAACACACCATACAGGAGGACAGATGGTCGACGGCCAGCGCAGCGCCAGGACACTTGAGCCACTTCCTTTTTTTTTTTTTTTTTTAAACAAATGTAACTGGAATCACAGTCAAGGATACAGACAAAAGAACAATCTTTTTAGTGTTCTGTATATACAGTATATCAAAATATATAATTAACCATATGGCATTGTGTATTTTTTGCCAACATTTTGGTGTGAATTTGTTCTGTAAATAGACTTAAGTTGGAACTATTTGATACTTTTAATGCATCAGTTCATGAATTTGATTCCAAATCTTGCTAAAAAATAAAAAACAATTTAATTATTGCTGTGGCGCCTCGTGTGCATCTATTAAATTAATGATCCTGACTTTATTTTAAAATAAACCAATTTTCTAACTGCTGTTTCTGGATTCGTATTTTCTCTTCAAAACTATTGAACTGCATTTCCTGATGCTAAAGATGGCATCATTTCTTGAAAGTGAACTTAGTAAGAAAGCAAGTCAGCACGAAGCAAGATCAGACGCCGCCACTGTACAAGAGAGCTGCACTTTATTGGACACACAATCACAGCAAATTATGTACAAAAGAAGGCAAGTTCAACTGCCTACTGTCTTCTCACAGGAAAAACACACACATTTCTCACAGAATATCATGGCATCCACACTGATAAATTAGTATCTCCAGTATCAGTAGGCTTTTAAATTTTATATATCATTATATTATAGATCTATTTTCTGTATTATTTTTGTTCTTATATCACACTACTCTACAAATGGGAGAATCACTCTGTGGAAAGAGTTCACCATCACTGGTGGCTTCTCTGGTTGGGGTGCGTTCAAGCGTTTCCGAATCCCTCTAGACATCCAACACTCTCGGCCACTATCATCATCATCCTCATCGTCACATAACATCACAGTAAGACTGAACATGCCTGTGTCACAGATACCAAAATAACGTCTCATTCCTCGTGTTTGTAAAACCTCGAACACAGAACCACTTTTTCCTCTTCCTCGTTCTCATTTTTTCGAGAAAACATGTAGACAACATTTTTATCGACTGCACCGTGCGATTGCTTGAGACTATACATGCATTGTTTTGTATATACCTTTGTACCCATCATCATAGTTTATTAATAAAACATCTTCTTTTGGACATAACAATTTGTCGAACTCTAGGAATGACTCGACCTATTTACAAGTCAATTTTGTTTTTCTTTGTTTTCGATGCCAAGATTTTTGAACATCCACACATTCATGTAAAAACCTCATATACATACTATAGAATGTAGGTTCATTATATAAAAAAAAGATACAATGGCAAAGGAAAAGATAAAACTTTAAATTCATACAACTTCACATAATTCCCTTATTGATCCATCTTGGGTGGTTTTTAACAACTCTTGTGGTTTAGCTTCCCTGCTACTTAAAGCCACAAGTGGAGCATAATAAGCAACAAAATGTACCTCCACATGTTGTAACGACTGAGAGCGTGTCGTCTCTGAATGCTTCTGCACCGAGCGTCCACATTGCTACCGTTCCTGTTTTCACATGCAAACATGACACAGAGCAAATATTAAAGCCATCTAACTTCCGTCAAAGCAGCAAGGCTCTATGTGAAGCCTTCAGGCCCATGAACTGTTCTTTCACTACAATATCTGTGTTTTCTGACCAACATCACTAATATCCAGCTGAACCACAAAACACAGGATGGGGTGAAACCAAAAAGCAGACCACAGATACACAATATAACCCCCTTGCAAAACCAAAAAAAACCCCCAAAAAAACAAACAAAAAAAAAACTAAACAAAATATCGTAGCAAAATAAGCCCCTAAGCACAGGCACTGGTCCAGCCTCTTACACCTCCATGTGACCCTTCACACGAAGAGGCAAACGAGCCGGACAAGCGTTTTCAGGGACGAGCTTTTCATAAATCAAAGTTACATCAGTGTTCATAAAGAAAATCCTAGAATTCAAAAATGAACTTCAGTGTATATTACAGAGGCTAACTGTTATCTATACAGATATTTTTAAACAAATATAAAAATGTTCTGCATATGAATAAATAATCTCAGTGTGAAATGTTATTATCTCTCTCAATGAATTAAAAAAGAAAAAATCTGTACAAAATGGTCACTAATATATAAAACTGAAGAGATGATGACATTTTACAGAATATAATTTAATCTAGGCCTATATATATATCACACTTTTCTTCACAATTATAATATCATACACAAACATCTCACTTAGATATATTTATATATGTATATTTCTCCTATGTTTGATTTCAAGTTTGCATGAGTTTTACTGATTGCCAGGGGCATCCACTGTGAGTGTCTTCAACATGCCCTCTAAGCCTGCAGCCATGTTGAAATCACAGCCCACGAACACTTGTCTTGGGAAAAAAAAAAAAAAAAAAAAAAAAAATTATTCCAGAGAGCACTGTCACGCAATTCTGGGAGGGTTTCATCTCAGACTTTACTTGGGGAAAGCAGCCAAGCGTGAATACTTCCTCCCCAACGCTCACCAGACGCAAATGCAGCAAATTTAACTCGGAGAGTTATGGATTTGAGTGTGGAACAGCATGAGTAAGTGAATTTCTTTCATTTGACTTCACTCAATATGAAACCCAGGGCTTGAACCTGCCTGGCAGAGCTACAGAGCACCCAGGGTGAGGCTTAATTCGCTGTGCTGTGAGCTTGCAGTTTTGCACATTGTCAGAGCTGGGGGAGTGTTTAGTCAAATGCCACTTCTGCAACCTGACACACACTGCATTTCAAGAGCTGTGTGTCCTTTTTTTCTGCAAAAAATATGGACAAGCCAATTTTTGCAGCCTCTTCTTTGGGTAAAGTGTGATTCTGTCATTGATATAATACTGTAACACAAGACCAACTGGGGACTTCTGGCAAGAACAAAGTCTTAGAGGCACTGGGAAAAAAAACACTGTTACAGGTCCTTTCAGGAGTTTCTCAAAGGGGAAGAGCACTGCCTTAGTAAAATTGCAAGAGTGCTAATTACATATTGCACACAATGTTCATAATTGAGGCCCATCAAACTTTGTCCTAGCATAACTTCAATTTAGTGGTTTTTATGTCACAGACGCCCCACACCAAAGACAAAGACAAGTGAAAGAGGCAGGGGAAGAACAGCCGCTCAATGGCTCTCTGACTGTCAAACCCTTCCTCTCATCTCTTTGGGTCTTTTATATCACAAGCACTCTTGATGGAGATAAGGCAAGTCAAAGCCGCTCTTATTAAAGTAGCCTTCAAACACATGTCCCCAAACTAATCCCCTCTCCTCAAGCTGCCTACTCTTTGACATGAGCCCCTTTGCACATGTTTTAATCTCGATGCCACAAAGAATCGATTTCTCGCAGTCATTCTGGTGAATAACTGGGAAAAAAAATCCCTTTGTCTATGACTGTCCGTTCACCTCCCCAGTGGGCAGCCTTGAGGCAACAACACAGGATAGGGAGCTTCAAAATAGTTCCTTGTGCAGGGTTAACACTTAGGGAATCACTGACAGGCCTTTGATGTGCTTTAAATAATGATAACTTCAACTTCTGTCACTGCGGCACACCAAAGGCCTAACATTCATAAATGTTTCATGTTTCAACATGCATGTAATAAAACCAAATGAGGCAACAGCACTGTTGGTAATTCAGTGTCCAGAATTTTAAATATGCAGGAATGTTTTTTTTTTTCTTCCCCCCCTCAGGGAAACATTTGTAGCTTTGTGCTTGTCATAATTAACCAAATTCACAAAGTCAGAACTGGTGGAAAGGGTCAGGTGTTTGAGAGGAAACTGTGCTCGATTTACATTTCTATATATACTCCTCTCAGACACTGCAAGAGTCAGGCTACAGCCTAAGTCTCTAAATATGTGCTGATCAATGTTCTTTATCTTTCAAGAGTTGAAACCAAGTCATTGACGATGAAGTGCGATTGATTCTTGTTCACAGAAGGTATTGAGTTCTACAATAAGGCCTGCAAATTGGAAGCTGAACACTCTGAAGTTCAAAACAAACAAGTGTCCTAAAAAGAAAACGCCTGATCTATCAGATTCCTTAAGGGGTGAAATCGTGTTCTGGTCCATATGGCATATATATATTTTTTTTTTTACCAGTGCAGTTTCAGTGGTGCAACAGATGTGAGTGAATGAAAATGAATCATCATGAAAAAACAAAACAAAACAAAAAATAGCAGAGTCTGTGCTTCTGCAAACAGCTTGGCTTTCCAAGTGTGTGTGTGTGTGTGTGTGTGTGTGTGACAGAATGTGTGTATTATTCATCGCCGTGTGTGCTTGAGTCTTTGGGATGGTTTGTGATGTCAGGTGCTGAAATGCCAGAGCAACCTGTGAGATGCTACTGTGGAAACATCCTGATTGTCATAATTAACTACTTCATACACACATACAGAAATTCAACATTTGTATATAATACACAATTTGCATTTTTCCCTTCTGTTTGTGTAACTGTGCCTCCTTATTCCATTTTAAATAGAGATGTGCTGTAATGAGACTGCTCCCTACAGTGTGCTTTTGTGAACATAGTGTAATTTCTATTTTTTGAAAAATTAAACTTAAACATTTTTTTGTAATTAATTCTTATTTTTTAAGGGAATGGATGTATAGAAATATTTGAATAATATGAGATGAAATCAAAGCAGACAGTGCACTGGCAACAAAGTGCAGGTCAAAGATTGGGGACAGCCGTGTAAACTCCTCACACAGTGTGTACAAACAGAGGGGAAAATATAGCACCAGTTCAGAGTTTAAAACACATGTGATGCAAGAAAAAGCCACAAATCCCCTTTAAACACAAAACAGCTTGAAACCACAATCATCACCTTGATCTACTTTTGATTTTTTCTTTTTTTTTCTGAGCGGGCTCACACTCTGCCAGGTGATGCAGGTAAGTGAGAGCAATAATATCCAGAACACACACAACTACAGGACTCACTTTTTGATTATTGCATTCTATTTTCTATGATAAAAGTCACAGTCTAGATATTATATCTACTCCACTAACAACCCATTGAGTGAGGGTATATATGAGACTGGTGCTGTCAGTAAATCCATCCAGACCACAACAGCTTACAGCGGGCAGCTGGTTTGTGCGCTCTCTAGCTGGGACACTGGCGGTACGACTGTGTGGGAGAACTTCAGAGAAACTGTGGAACCAGATCAGAGAAGGAAACTTGTCCAAGAAGAAGATTGTGACTCCATTTACAGTATGGTAGTTCTTGCCATGGGAATATGAAGACTCTGCACACTGGAGTGAGGCCAAAAGTAGAGAGGAAAAAGAAGAAAAAGCCAAAAAGTCTCTTTATGGTTCATGATGTGATGGTGCATGAAATGCAATCCCACATGTCCTCACCCTCCTCCTCTTCATCACCGAGAGTTGCCGCGGGTGAGGTCCTTATTCACAGGCTTGCTGCCACCCTCCTTGCAGCTGTTGAGGCTGGAGCTGTCAAGGCTACGACCGCTGGGTTTGAGAACCGCAGAGGAGAGGGTGAGGGGACTCAAAGGGGTAGGAGAGGAGGGGGACAAAGACGGAGTAGGGGTGGTGGGTGAGGAGGAAGAGGAGGAGGAGGTAGTAGTGGGAGTAGGGGAGGAGGGCTGGCTGCTGGGCAGAGGCAGGGAGGAGGCTCGCTGCTCCCGCAGAAGCCGGTGATGGCGGAGGGTGGAGGAGAGGAGCAGAGCTTCGGCGCTCAGGCCGGAGGCGGACAGGCTCGCCAGCAGGGCCTTCGCTTGACTGGAAGAGGCTGTCAGGGAGGGTATTGCCCCCTCCTGGGGGTACTTCCTCAGGCCAGGGGCAAACGCTGCTGCAGGAGAGGGCACTCGGCTTGACAAAATGCCCGTTTTGATACCAGAGAGGTATGGCTCAATACTACCACTGGTGCTGTTGGTCCCCAAGGCCTTCAGGTGGAGCAGGGACACAGGAGACAGGAAGGGGGAGGGTGGGGATGTAAAGAGATGAGGTATTCAAGGGATCAAAGGGGAAATCATGAAAAATTAAAGTCTGGTTGGTTGTGGCTGGGCACTGTCCCTTGCAGCACCTCCCCTTACCATTACTGTCAAACATGCCCATGCACGCATGCTTGCCCACAAACACACTCACACACATCCACAAATGCACACATTGGGGTTCAGTGAAGATTTTGTAGAAAACACTGGAGAAGTGAAGGTAGCTGATGGAGTGAAGGGGGCAGGTGAGTATGTGTAGCTCTGTGGTCGGGTGAACATGAGGAGGAGGGAAACTGAAGAGGTTGGACACGGACAGGTCGCTCACTGCTGCAGGGTCACAGGTGCAGAAGGTGGGGCAGGCCAAGAGGTGCAGGGTGGCGCGGGTTCACGCAGGGTGAAGGGGTGGGTGAGGTTGCGCCGCAGGAACAAGTGTCAGAAGAAACATGTAGTGGAGGGGTAAAGGGTGGGACGGGTGAGGGAGAGGTGAAAACAGAACAAGAGACAAACACAGGAGATCGTTATTCAGGTTGATATCAGCATGTGTGATGCAAGCCACGAGACAGGTTTCCATCTACACATGATGACCAAACCCTTGCTAAACACAACTTCTGTCATAGGGCGCAGCAGTGAAGGTTGTCAGCTGCTTATTACACCGTTGGCCATCTTTATTTTGACACTTGTTTTAATGATTGTTACTCATTAAATAAATGCAAAATATTCTGATGGACAGGCTGCACGACACCTTCAGTCCCTTCGTGTAATGCTGGAATCAGCCAGTAGGTGGCACTGTTCCAACATATGACACATTCACAACATGTATTTGTCTCTCTTTTACAGGTGGAGCCAAGCTGAACAGTTTGAATGTTTTCTGTGCAGGGAACAGACTGAGCTAAATGTACCAGAGTCCTGACAGGGTGAGGGAAGAGCTATAGAATTTATTTTAAATAGCAAAACCTAACTTTTTTATTTTAAACAATTTTGCATTTATTTATAATTTTAATAAGAAGCAACAGGAGAAAAGTTTTTGCTGCGGCTTTAAAAGTTTTAAAAAGGTGTTTCTATTGGGATTACGGGGATTAGTTCTGTATGAAAGGAGAGCAGGTGTACTAGTCTAGACTGCGCTGCTGGGAGGCTTTCACCTGCTCTGTTGCAGCTCCACAGCCTCTGCTGCCAAAAGTCCCCAGAGTGCAGGGTCGTTCCTTCTGCTCGAGGAACTCCTCTCAAACCTGGCCGACACATTTATTCTGGTCTGTGAGTGCGCCAGAGCAGCCGCCCTTCATCTCACGCTCTCAGAGCCTCCTGCCAAACGAATGCCTCCCAGGACAGGCCTTCACAACCTCCACCTTGTGCCCGGCACCTTTAATTAGCCCGTTTCATTGCCAGAAATATTAAGAGGCCAAATGGGAAAATAAAATAGGGTTTTGTGGCATGAAAGTGATTCGCATTGTCATGGCCTCCGTGATCTGTGCCAAAGCAAACGGGGAGAAATTGTAGTTTTGAACTGTCTATTCTTATCCGGTGCATTAATTTGAAGGATCCTCATGCCTGAAATGCTCCAGTGCTTCTGAGTGAAGCTCTGGTGAACAGACAGCCTGAGCACAGCGGCACCGCAGCATCATCAGAAAGGCTCTGTTAATTTTAACACTGGCAATTAACACACCGAGATTACATCAGAGCGGAAACTGACAATGAAGCTGACACTGTAAAGACATTATTGCCACTTGTTTTTGCTCCAATGATCAAGTCTGTTTGGAACATATAATTTGCAGGGGTATTTCGAGGAATGTGGTCAGGCATGACACCTAAAATCTGATTGGCCAACCTGCTTGCTAGCCAACAATCCCAAGTTATAATCAGCTAAATGCAAGGGTTGAGGAAAGTTCATTCAGCCAGCATATTTTATCTGGATGAAAAAAATTAGACAGGGTAACTTGAAATTGGCAAGGCTAAACGCATGAGCCACATAAATGGAGCCAGTGCATCTTGTCACACAGTGATGTCTCTCCAGCTGGCTTCCACAACATGCTAATGAACATCAGCTGCCTTTCATTTGAATTGGTGCAAACTGTCACTTATGTCACAGGGTTATCATGGCCAAAAGGATTCATGATAACAATATTATCGCACTCTCTACAGAAGATTTGAAAAATAATAATTGTGCTATCAGTCAAATTCTGAAACTTTGTTTACTGTGTATTCTGTTTTTTTTGTTTTTTTTTAGCAAATAATGTCAACAAAGCTTCTTTGAATTTGATTGTAACCATAACTGTACAATAGCATACAAAAAGATCAATTGCACTTCATGGATAGTGAAAAGGCAACCAGATGAACTGATAAAAAAAAAGATCCATAAGGCCCAACATCTGCTATCATGATATTATTATACATGTATTATTAAATATCATGGTTATGGTCAATACTGTCACCCCTACTGTCACTGTGTGGACAGTACCACTAACGCTGAAGGTATTTATATTAAGATCTTCTACAGGGATACTCCAAAGTGCTGTGCTCATTCCTTGAGTTTGTGCTCTGTTCAAAACACCCTAGAAATGTCAGTTATCATTAGGCCAGAGGAGACAAAAGAGAACAATCTAAAACACCAATGGGAGCTGGAAGGAGGGTAAAAGTTTGGGGTTACATTTAGGGAGTAATGTCCAGGAAAGGTTTAAGAGAAGATACACCTTTACCTTTAGCTGTGGGCCGAGCAGAGATGTCACCCAAGGTGGGCACGTCTGATTGTCAGAACAACAATATCAGTCAAAAGTGTGATCAGCAGTTGTGAGTGTGAAGGTGAAATGCTCTGCCTCAAATAGGAATAGTTTTTAGATTACAGCTCAACAGTAAGGTGTAATACGTGGATCCTAGAGAGACAGATAATGTAGGACTGTGACTGATTCACACATTCTACACAAATATATGCTTTAAAAATAACCTGCTTACTTCACTGATGTCAGTGAATGGTTTAAAAAAAAAACATTGGGTGAAATGAATATAGAGTTGGCAAAAGTTTCTAATTAGCTCTTAAAGTCTGTATGCAAATGAGTCAGCCGCCTCGATAATTTGATGAGATGAACTGAAGGTAATCATCATGTTTTTGCAGCATAGTCCATGTTCAGCAGTTTCATTATCGTGAATTTAAAATGATATACCAGACAGATTTGGCTTCATCCATTTGTAAGCTAAATTGTCAGGATCTGTGCTGTTTTCTTGGTTTGACAGTGAAGATGCCAGAAATCTAACCAAAAAAAAAAGAAGCAATTCCAATTGAAAAACAGCCTGTGGAAACAACGCAACGCTGGATTCTCAGCATCGTGACTTCATTAAGGTTTGAACGGGGGGTCAGTGCTACAGAAAGTGGCACTGCATGGTTAACAGAGAGAGAAAGTGCTCAGTATTACAAAAATAATAAGGAATTATGGAATAAATAATCACATGAATAAACTGTGTAAATTATACCATTTCCATTAAATTATTACACTGACTCTTGATGCCGAGTAATAATCCAAGCTCACAAGCCAGCTATTTAGGTAGCATCTGCAGCCTTGTTCAGCTTAATAAATAAAAGGAGATGTTAGTTTCTGTGTGTGTGTTTATTCACAGTTAATTCACAATTACTTTGACATTATTGTTACCTTAGCTAACAGGAGCTAAATCTGCTGGAGAGGCAGAGGGGGATGTGATTAGCTGAAGGGCATGAAATAAAAATTGGTGTAACATCAAGGTTTTATTGGGCAAAATGACATTATGAAATAAAAATGGGTTTGGAAAAGGGCATTTTCAAATTAAAAAAAAAAAATAATAATAATATTATAAAATAAAATTGAATTCCTTTAAAAACTGTATTGTCATGAATATAAGATTAATAATCATATTATAAAACACAGTAATGACTTGTTTTAAATAATTTAGATGAATCTTCAAGTTTCATTTATATATTTTACAGTTTATTTATGTGATTATTTCATATTTATTTATTCAATATTGACCTTTATAAGGCTCCATACAGGTTAGGATTATGTAGGAGTGGTATTAAGACTAATATGACCACACTGTTTAGCCGTTGTGTATTGAAAGAGCTCTGCTTTCCCAATGAATGTCCTGTTCTTGTTTTTGTTTAATAAAACCTCTTCAAACTTCTACCTGCTGCTGGACTAACTGACTACTTGACCTCTCAACTACTCACTGCACCTCATGCTTCAAAATGCCACAATGACAGTTACTGGCAATTTGTGCTCACTGTTTTTTCTCTCGGTTTAGGTCAGATGGCTCTTTGTTTTCTGTTATTCTTCATGCCGTTGCAGTTATGTTGCCACGCTACACAGCTTGGCACCAGCTTCCCACGCTGACAATTAGCTTTGAGTGTCCAATGTCCCTTTTGAGGATAGCGCTTTCACACATACAGTGTCTTTTCACAATGACTGTTTTGAACAGTTTGTGGACAAAAGGGAGTGTGCTGTGTGCGAGTGTCACACTGAAATAATGGGATTAATTTTGGGGGTAGAGGGTGTAAATTGCAGAGTGTAGAAAGCGGAAGAAGGAAAGAGAGAAATAAAGTACAGAACGTGAAAGCCTTAATGGTGATGACAGAGAACTGTCCTCTTCATACTGAATAATCAGTGATTGCCACCGACTCGAGGGGCGATTATGACATAGCGCTGCAGAGATTCCTTCCAATCTTCTCTCAGTCTGAGGCGACCAAAGCTTCATTACTCCCCCCATCTCTCAAATCTCTCTCTCTGTGCCTAACGCATTTATTTCTCTGCAATCTTCAAGACTGAATTTGTGTCTGAATGGTCTGTCGAATTCTGTGCAGTATGGAGGTTTAGGTGCACTCCACTGCTCCTGTTATTTTTCAAATTACATTGACAATAAGCTTTTTTTCCCCTCCTGTGCACAGGCATGGTGCAAAAATCTTCTTTTGGCTTTACTGGACTGATATGCTTCAACAGTTCAATTTCCTCGCCTCCAGAGGCCATCGAGCATCCTTATGTCCAGTCTTTTCTTACGTTAAAGGACTCAAATGCTGGAAAATTCAAAAACCAGAAAGATGTAAAGGCAGCGATCAGGCCAATGTATAATAACAGATGTATAGAGAGGCTTTAAAAACTTTTATAAATTAAAGCCTGGCTTTCTGCCACACTTCAGAAATGAAACACTTGTGAAGGAGTACATATATTTACTACATTTTTAAGTGACCCAAACAAACAGGCCAAGTTTTACATTTTTTAAGAACGATAAAACCAAAGTCTAGTCTTACACTGGTCTAGTCTTACACTGGTCACTTACACATATCATGGTATTACATAATGCTTAGTAAAGTTTTTAATTGGTTTAGATACTATAATTGTTAGACTTTCAGACCTAAAAACACAGTTTAGGTTAGTGAAGCGATAATCCTGCAACACTTCAACCTGTCTGACACACATCTTGCAGAGGATTCTTTGATCTGTTTCAACAATCCCATGATAATGAGCTGTCACGATAATGTGATTTCACCATCAAAGAATTTCTAATCATTATCTTCACCAGTTTTTAATTCATCATCAATTCATCAATACTTTTGTCTTTCTAATGCAGAAAATTTTTAAATTTATGCCTTGAATATTACACAGTATTATACACAATCTGATAAGCGAATGCTGAGGAGTGTGGTGGGGACATGCAGTAGTGCTTCAGGTGTAAAGAGAGATGGTAGAGGCCTAATTATGCTTAATCTGGCGAGGCGGCATGGCAATTCCGGAGACTTCATCAGCTTGCAGAGGTTCACATGAACATGTTCTGCTTGTTTTATGTTTTTTAAATATAACTTTGAAGGATTGCTGAAGTTGTGTAGTGGTGTTGTCACCTTCGTGACAAAATTTGCTTTTATATGAAGGAACAAGGTCATCAAATGTATAAGGAAAACAAAAAGTTTTTAATATTGTGTCCCATCTGTCTTGATTTATAACAGACATGGATCATTACCTTCTTTTGCACCAATTCCAGACTGATGGAACAGTAATATGCAGTGTCCTTCTATAATGATATCTTCTGATATCATCTATATTTTTATGATTTTTATAAGCCTGTTATTCTTTAAATACCTAAAAAATGGTCATGGCCTGGGCTGCCACTACCACAAAGAGCAACTGAGAGTATCTGGAAAGTACCATACAGCCCCATCTGCATGCATGCTACCAGATCAAGCATGCATTGGCCCCGCCTGTCCTGAATATAAAGATGATACCTGCTGCTGGCCCTGGATCTTCAAGAAGTCCTCTCTTTTGCCAATTTTAGTCTTGTCTGTGCTGTTCTGCTGCAGGTGCTTCAGCTTGGAGGCAGCCGAGGAGTGGAGAATCTTACCAACGCTGGAGCTATTCCCTCCCTGAGAGGAGGGGAGAGGAGGAGAGGAGAGAGTGTGAATCAGACCATGGACACACAGTACATGGTCGTACATTTCATTTCTCCTCTTCAGTGCCTTTAGTTTATGCCTCAGACACACATAAACTCCGTACACAGTCTGATTCCGGCGAGCAAGCCTGTCTCCTGAGACCAATGAGGTTTTTAAGATCAGAGCTTGTAGCCAATATAAAAACTGAAATATCCACTTCACAGAGTTTCACCATCTATCAGTAGAAAGTGACAAAGACGAGAATATAGAAACGCCGCATCAAAACTGACGTTGCATGGCCTATCCTCACCGCAGGCAGTGTGCTTAATGATCTTTCCTGCTGAGTTACTATGTCGACTGTCTCTAACACGAACATAAACAAATACACATCCAGTCAAATTTCCATCCAACTGTGCCTCCTCTGCACACAGAGACATTAGCTGAAAAGAAAACAAATAAAAGATTAACTGTTATAGTCTCAAATAACCTTTCTCTGCTACGCTAATTCATGCCTGTCTCCCTCCCTTGCTCCTTCTCCTGATGTGAAGCAGAATTTTGAAATACAGACACAACAATAAATACAGTATACTAAATTTAAACTTAACGGACGAATCCTCATTCTGATGTCCTAATTAAAAACCTAACTGTAACAGGGCTTGACAGTAGATCTCTTGTCAGTGTGAATCTGGCGAGTGCACGAGCAAATGTTGAACAAGAGTAGGAAGAAGGGGTCATGCTGAAATGATGAACATGCTTGAAGTTGGAGTGATGAAATAATGTGTGAAGACTCTGTAATCCTCATGCACACCCATGGGAACGCTTTCTGGCTCCACATCAGAGGGCTGAAACTAACCAAGACAGCGTGACTGTCAAGCGTTGCAGCCCTTCCCTGAGTGGGAGGCTACACTCAAGAGCAACAGGGAATACTACGCGAGCTGTCAAAGACACCTCACTGAAGTGGCAGCTGACACAGCAATACAATAAGCCTTTTGATTATCACTAATCTTTTGTTGAACTACGGTCAAATGGAGGTGAGTTGAAAGGAGGCTACTCGCAACGTCTTGTAATAGAGTTAAACACGTGGCCAGTAGATATTAACAAGATGTGTATTAGAAGTGATTTTGGCTTTGGTGTAAGAGACAGGTTTCTGTTCTCATAAAGGTTCGACCACTAACACTGGATTCAAGATTGATGATGAAGTTTCTTGCTGTTCTTTTTTTTGTTTTTTTTTGCCTGCAGTTTTTTTTCTGTGTTCTGGAAACACAAAGGCATCAAGTAACTTTTGGTGTTTGCAATTATGAGTGTGACAGTACATAAAATATGCATTTATACGTGGTTAAATATAGCACAACAGCTGATTTACATTACAGTCCCAAGATTCTGAGGGAAAGACTTGATTTCAAGAACAAGATGAGAATAGTAATCTGACAGCGCTAAGAGGAGAAAGAAAGAAGAAGATATTAGAAATGTTTGTTTTATCTATGCAACTTTTTATTGCCTGTTTGGTGTAAAAAAAAGGTTCAACTGGCGAGGTTAACAGAGTGAAAACAGATGCTGTGACACATCAATAAAGAAACAATTAACAACTTCTTGGCTCAGCAGGACAGCAGCTCCAGCACTAATCACAGAACAGACATGAAGGGAGGAAGTCTGTTGTCTGTCCCTTCTACATATTTTCAATTACAAATACAATTAGATGTCGATTTAATCAGGGAGCAGACATCAGAGGCTTGAAAGTGAAGTTCCAACAACCACCCAGAGAGTAGAGAAGAAGTGAGGAAAGAAAATAGAGCATGCTGCTTTAGAGCAGGAAGCTGCACAGCAGGTGTAAGCAATGAACCTGGTTCGATGCTGGACTCAAAGACGACGGCTTGGGTGGGACTGGAGGCTTCTTGGTCTCCGAGGTCGGACTACCGGTCACCTGTGCGGGAGCACTTTTGATGGCTGTCTCAGTGTAGAGCTGCTCTGCAGTTGGATGGCCACTGATCTCTATCAAGGTGTTCTCCAGCTCTCGAATAGTCTCCTCCAAGCTGTCCAGCCTCCTGTAGGTGCTGCGTCGGACGTCTTCTGTTGTTCTCATCCGACTGGCAAGACTGTCCGGAGAGCTGTCTGACCCACTGTACTCAAGAGTACTGTTTTCTAAAACCTGCTTCACCTCAGGAATCATCTTAGTCTCGGTGTTGTACTGAAGTGTCAGCGTCCTGTCCCCTGTTTCTGTCCCTCTTCTCAGAGCCTCCACCAGAGAGCTCTGCTGGCCTGAGTAAAGGGAGGATTTTATTCTGGGTTTGGGCACCGGCTTGGATGACTCCAGAAGGGAATACAGCAGCCTGTAGGCCTCTCTGACTGATTTTTCCTCCCTGAAGAGCACCAGCAGTGGTCGGTCACTCAGCCGAGCCTCAGAGACTTCTCTTGTCTGTGGTAAGATGGTCAGAGTCTTTAAAACTCTTCCTGCAGTCTTGCTGAGCTCCTGGGCCTCAAGAGAAGACACCACCCTCACCTCCATCTCTGTTAACAGCAGGGCAAGCTCCTGTTTTAATCCCATATCCTGTTTAAAACAATGCTGCTCTCGCTCAGGCTGAAGAGAGCCTCTAGATGAATCCCTTTGCTTTGACATTTGAGCCTCGTAGGCTGTGTGACGACCCGTCCAATCTCGTGATGGACTCTCCTCCACAGAGTCGTTTGCTAAATCTCTGACGGGATCCTCTGAGGCAGTGGGCGAAGCTGGCAAACACTCTGTCAACACGATGTGGGGGACAGGAGACAAGCGACTTCCCTATAAATGAGGAAAGCACTTGAGCTTCATATTCAAACACAACGAACTAGTCTTTGCTTTAGAACAATCCAGCCACTTCAAGTGAGACTGATGATCACTGCATAATAAGACAACCAAACACGAAAGAGAGAGAAATGAGTTAGGAATATTATTAACGTGTGTGTAATGTATTTATAAATACATTTCTATTAACATAATTGGCTCTCACACACAAAACAACATCAACTGCAAACCCACTGCTGACACACTCACTTTGTGTGGTTGTGAAGGACGGACGCATTCATATATACAGGAACTAAATGTGTGAGCAGGTTTGTGTGCCAAGGATGGTTTTGGTGAAGGTTGCACTTGTGACTGACTGTCATTAATTAATGCTGAGGTTGTTTTTATGCAAAATTAAAATCTACATTAACCAGTATTCTCAGAGTTCACAATGAATTAATAGGAGACTGATGTTCGACACTGCAATGTTGTTCGTGGTGGCAAAAAAAAAAAAAAAAATCACAACAAATTATCAGCCAAGTCAGGTCTTCACACCATAACAACTTTGGAGCAATTTAGTATTTTGGCTCATTGTTTTGACTTTAAAACAAATTAACTAAGCTATCATCAACATGTTTCCAGCAAAACAAATTTCTGTACGCTACTGGTCCAGCAACAAAGTTAGCAACTAGCTGTTGAAGAAAGTTAAGCATCTAGCTAAGCTGAAGAAACATTTCTGAGGTGTTAGGGACATCTATACTAGAGCTAAAAGAGAGAGCTAAGTTGTGAGCAAACAATTGCTCCCAATAGTAAAAACACTATCAAGTAATTCCATCATTGTATATTGTTACATAGTCTCAAAACCAGCCACATTATGCAATTAAAACCATGATAAATTAGTGTGAAAATAAGCCCTTACATTGGTGTATTCTGCATGTAGTTTTGGTTCAGATTCCTTAAACCCAGGATGTGTGCACCTCAACAATAACAGGTGACACTGGAGAGCAACAACATCTGCTGTGTTAATTTCAGGTTGAAGAGGAGGCTTGCATAAGTGCATGTGTCAAGAGGTTGAGCAGTAGCTGAGGTTTGTGTGTGCGGTAGAGGGGTTGAGAGGAACAGAAATTGAGGTTTAAGAGGTTTAATCCACAGCACTCAGGGTCAGCCAGAGTGTTACCTCAGTGCCTGGGGCCTTAGAGGGCCACAGGTCCAGTCTGCATGGGGGTACGCTGTTCCTGTTGCGAGGGCTAACAGGCTGGGAATGGGGAGGGGGCAGGGTGAGCCTGAGCGGGGCTCTCTCAAACAGCTGGGGAGGGAAACGGGAGGTTCAAAAGCTGTCAAAGCAGGATGAAAACACAACAGCCACTGGATAATCCAAATCAGTTGCTACTGACTCTTTGTTCAAATCAAATTTCAGGCAGGCCATCTCAAACACCGTCCAAGCAGCCATGAGGGTCCATCTGTCTGGCTGTGATCTGTGAGCCCTGGGTGATGATGTGTGTGACTGAGCAGTATGTGATCTTTGGGCTCTCCCACAGCCATGGGCAGGGGGACATATGGCACCTGCTGCTTGAACATGTGGTAATGATGGTGAGCATATCGCACGCGCACACGCGCGCGCACGCACACACACACGCGCACACACACACACACACACACACACACACACACACACACAGTGTGGTATGTGTACGTGCGAAAGCCAGAGGCAGATTTAAATAGACTTAAATAATAAAAAGAGCACAGTTTTCCCACTCGTTGAACACCAGCTTATTGAAGATGTGATCAACATAATGCACAAGCAATGTTTTAGTTTACCTCCAGTTCGGCAGCAATTTTTTCTTCCTCCCCTTCCTCCTTGTCCCCAGAGGCCAGTGTGGGGGGTGTAGATGCAGGACGAGGGTTTTCGGACACGGTCCTCCTCAGCTTTACATGAGGCTTCTGGCCTTCAGTCTCTTCAGATTCAGACTTCTACAATCGCAAATACAAAAAGAAAATGTGTCCCAAGCTTGTTATTAATAAGTAAACAATGATTTGATCTAACAAAACCTTAATTCTAAAAATCAACAGACTAGCTCCCATGAACTTCTCTCTGTAATCTGTTGATATGTAGATCTGAGGAAGGTGTTGTTGTGCATTTGTTAAAATAATTTAAGTGCAGAATCATTCCTTGATATAATACAGTGTTCAAACTGTGTTTGCAAGTTTCTTTCCGTCTTACCTTTATACTTTTTCCAGGAATGAGGGGCTCTCCGCTGCGGGTGGTAATGCCTGGAGAGGATGGGAAGCTACGTCTCGGTGGCGGTGGAGGAGGAGACTTGGAGGGTTTCTCTGTGCGATATCGAGGCACTGTCAGCTCATCTGGAAAAAGTAGTTCAATGGGCATCTTGAGAAAGGTGCAATACTTGTGTAATATGTTTACGGTGATTTTACAGTAGCATTTTTAGTCAAAATCATACTTTATTTCCAGTTTTTCATATTTTATTTCAGGGTAGGGCACATATGTTCTTGAGAAGATCTGATGACCTGCAGGCCTTGTAAAAAGGTTTTTTAAAATTAATTGGATTCCTTTAACAAATGTGTGGTAGTTACCCTGAAAGACCCTTCACTCTTCAAAAGTTGACAAGGGGCAAGGTTTTCTCTTGATGACGCATAGAACTGTTGCCAACTGAAACACTGAACTCTCTATCTTACCAGAGCCACGCCTGGATCCTCCCTCCTTCCCAGAAAGCTTGTGCTGGGGCTTGCTGGCACGGTGCTCTGGGGTTGCCGTCCCACTCTGAGGGGTCTGAGAGGACGTTGGGTTGGAGCTGGGCTTGATCTGCTTGGCAGCAAAGTCCAGGTCAGGAATAGCCTTCATTAACTCGGCCTGGGTCTCCTCCAGCAGCCGGTTGATGTCCTGAGCGCTGTACTGGGTCAGACTGGCCCGCTTCTCCTCCCAGTCCCGCTCTGCTGCCTGCGGAGTAGAGAGACGGAGCTAAATGCTTTATAAACACACACCCACCATGGGGTTGTCTGACTGGCGCAACTATGTTATATGATTTGTAGAGCCTATTATGTACAGTGGGTGGTGGAAAAAGAGAGGAAAATGCGACAAACAGCAGAAATGATTCCTACCAGTCGGACCTCTACGGACAAAGCTTTATCTGCAGCAGCACGGCGCTCCAGCTCCTCCAGGGCTTTTCCCTTGTGGGGGACAGGAGGATAATTGTCCTTGTGGGGGCCGGACGGGTTCCCGTGGCCTCGGCTGAGGCTAGTGTGGGGGCTCCAGTTGGACAGGCTGTTGCCTCCCCCGAGGTCATTGATGGTGAGTGGTGGGCTGGTGGGAATGTCAAAGTCTGCGAACTTTCGCAAGTCATCATTGTGCTTTGATGAAGGACTGGAGAAGTCCTCCTGCTTTTTCCACACCCCCTCATTCGCTTGTCTGGCAAGACAGGGAGGATGAATTCATTAATGAACTGAAATGTAACACAAACTAAAGCATGAATAATCCATGACTGGAGGTGAAAACAATCCAAAAAAAAAAAAAACTGAGGGGAGCAAACCTCCACCTCTACTGAATAATTCTTCACCTTGCTGTTTCCCACAAAGATGAAAGAAAAAACAAAATCAGATGAGCTCTTTTTATTGTTGAGGTGAATTGAAGCAGAAAGTGAGGTGCTTAGACAACAGAGAGGTCTAAAGCTAAAGGGCACAAGTCCACACTCATCAAAAAATGAATAAACCAGTTGGTCATATTAATAGTAACAGGTTGAATGCAGCAACACATTTTACACATATTATGATTAAAATTATTTGTCAGACTTTGATAGTTTCAGAACTTTGGCTTAAAAACAATGAATGTTTAATGGCGGAAAGCTCTGGTCTGGATCAACAACAATATAATAATCAATTTTCCTTGGCCCAAGGTCTGTCTGTCCACTACATTTTATGGGAAGCCATAATGTTCTGCTGACATGCAAACAAAGACGGGTGAAGACACCATCTCTCTGGCAGATGTACAAATGGAAATGCCTTCCTCAAATCTATTACATGGGCAAGTTTCCGTGTCAGCGATGGTAGCAGTGAAATATGTCTAAAATTAGCTATTTAAGAATTTATTGGATAAATGCTTCCACCGGATTATTTAAAACGTTTAAATTTCCAAGGACAGTTTCAGTATTCAGCACACAAAGGCTTTCTTCAGTAGGGATGAAAAGGTAAAGCAGGTGCTGATTAACTGTAGCTCTCAGATGGAGCAGGTTCATACTTGCGCATGGTCGCGAGGGTGTCAGTTATACTCTTGCAGCGTTTTAACAGGGCGTCGAGTCTGTGTGGCTCTTCTTTCAGGAATTTGACGGCCTCCACTTCTACCCTGAGCACCACCCGCATCTTACTCTGCAGGCCTGGGAACTGATCTGCAGGAGAAAGCAGCTGAGTAACACAAGAAGCCGGCCCTGTTTCCCGCAAACAAATCAATTCTACTTGTCAAAGACGTTAAAAGCCTTTTAATGTAATCAAACAAAACATTTTTGGACTACTGTAAATGTTCAGGGAGTCCATTAAGACAATGCACAATCTGAGTAATCTGCGACTGATTAAATGTTTGACAGACTGCCTGTGGGTGACTAAAAGATAATCAGTGCCTTGGTGAGTAATTAGTGCATTATAAACTGTCAGCCAGATTACAAGACTGTGTGTTTTCTTGTTTTCTGCCTGTTCGCAGAAAGTGAAATGTGTGCCAGCATGACTCACTTTTCAGTTCTGTGAGTGTTTCTCCCAGCTTTCTCAGAACAGTGGCCTTCTCCTCCAGCTCCTGCACCGTCACGAGCTTGTGGTTGACAGATGATTCCTTCTGGATCTCCTCCACCGACTTCTCCAGGTCGCTGAGATGGAACAGACAGAAGGCTGAACACCAGGGATTCCTCCGCTACACTTAAATATTAATGAATATTTATCGCAGAATTATTCTACTTGAGTTTCGGTAAAAATTCTGCCAATAAACTGCCTCTCTATCAACTGGCAGCTAGATTAATATTTCTAGACAGCTGAACTGGAGGAGTACAGATTGGTATTTAAAAAGTTTCATGCAACAACTGAGGTAAAAGGTGGAACACGGACTCTATACAAATGTCATTTTGTTCAGCTCTAATGGTGAGTGTGTCTGGTCTGGTCAGACTTGATGTCAAATAAATCTGCCTCCAGTTGTGTAAGGAACCAAAGTTCTATGCATAATTAACCAAAATAAATTGGCCGTTAGCCAGGCTGAACAACAGACAATGATTAGCAGAGATCATATAACAGTTCAACCAATTAGTCTGTGATCTAAATGCAGCTCAGAGTGAGTTTCAGGAACTACTCACAGAGAGATCCAGGAATTATAGCTGCAGTGAACATTTCCACATGAAGCAGAAGCAAGTTATCTGATTATTAAATCTCAAGGTAGCTCTCTGCTCTGGGTTTGCAGTCACTTCAATTAGCTGCTGGACCATCTCATACTTCAGATCTTAATAAGCATCTTGCTCTGTGCTGGGTTTAATTACAGTTACAATTTCATCCGACCATTGCGTCACCCTGTAAGTCATCTCATTATAAACCAGATATGAACTTTGTCATGTTTAAAGCAATTATTAAATACATGATAAAATCTGATCTTAAACCATATAACTGTCAATTTATATAATGAATACCCAAAAATCACTCCCTGGTTTTGTAGACTAACACATTTTTCTTGCTTGTTTTGTTTATTATTGATTTAAAAACAAGATTGAATTAGGGGCTGTGGGATTTCAACAACCATGCACTCTTCTACTCCACTTGTACTGTTACTGACTGGAGTTGCTGGATGATGAGCTCCTCCTCATTGAGGTACTTGAGTCTCTCCTCCTCCACCAGGAGGCGCTGTCTCTGCAGAGGATCCTCCTGCTTCCTCAGGGCATCAGCAACGCGCACATTCAGCTCCGCTTCTGTCCGTTTCAGCAATGTTTTCACCGAATCCTGGTTCTCCATCTGCACAGACGCACGCACGCACGCACACACACACACACACACACACACACACAAACACACACACACACATTACAGATAACATGTACTGCTCTTACTTCAGCAGAGCATGTGGTTATATCCATGTTAGCCTCAGTGGCCTCAGGAGAATAGCTTGTTGAAGTCATGAGATCTGCTATTGCTACCATCTTGGCATAAAAATGGGACTACGAAGGGAAGAACTTGTGGCTCAGCCCTATCCTTGAGAGGGCAGACTGTGACCTCTTGTTTCACCGCACAACCTTCACTGCTTTGTTATCCGAGAACAATATTTTGCTCTATCATTGACTGCTTATGCGTTTCTCAGTCATTGCTTGTGAGGTAGCCTTCACACTGACTGCCTAGTTCTTGAAGGCACTGCTAAATACAGCAAGTAGTTCACTCTATGGTGTGTGTGTGTGTGTGTGTGTGTGTATTAGCACGTGCACATAATATTTCCTTTAACACAGAAAGCTGGGAAGCCCTGAGGAGAGCGAAGGATGTCCATGACAGAAGCACTGAGCATGAACTCAGCTCAGCTCTCAGTGTTATGAATGGAATATTCTACAGGACTAGTGGATGTAATACAACTCCCTGAGATGAAAGCACCTGGTAAGCAAGAAAAATGAATAATTGATCAGCCTGATGTTCCAGGAAGCGAAGCAAACCAACAATATTTCTAACATTTTAAATTACCCACTGTCCCCTATTACACTGCTGTCAGTGGTGATGCAGATGCAGCAGACTAAAAGCAGGATTATATAGTAACATATTTTAAAAATTACTTATTATATCTAGAAAAATACATTTTAAGATGTTTTTATTTTATCTTGCAGCAGTGCCCTTCCTCTCTGCCAGTAACCTGCCTATCCTGCATCTTCCCTCTGTATAATTCATGTGCCACATGTAAAATTTAAGGTGCTGGCCATCGCTGTGGGCAACATGGGTCCAGGTGCAGAAGTTACACTTGGGCAAACAGACGGGTAGACAGCAAACTGTCCTCTCTGGGTACAGCAGCAGTGGCTTGGCTGTTTGGCTCTCCGTCTCACCTTGTGACTGCTGTCATGGTACAAATAAAAGCACTGCATGCCCATCATCTGTCACTGCCATTACTCCTGCTTTTTCTTTTCCCCTTTCAAGAGACTTGAATGCTCTCCTCTTCCTCTGAAAGCATTTTAGTCATCATCTCTTCCCGACTCCTCCTACAGTAACCATGGCACCGCTTGCACCAGGGACAAATGGAATAAATGAAGACCTCATCTCGACATTTTTCTGAACCCTTCCTTGTGGCATTTAATCTGATTCTGCATCCATCGTCACGTCCTGTATCTCTGTAGAATACCACGCAATGTGAACTGAGCTCTTATCTTTCCATTTCATCATTAATCCTCAAAAGGTACAATGCCCTCAATGTGTCATGTAGTACAGCTATGTGAACCTGCAGGTGTTATTTACAGTGTGTACAGTATTGAAGTGAAGATCAAATAAACATCAAAGCCGCTGTTCCTTCATACATGCGTGTTGAAAAACTGGATAGTATATGTCCTACATCATAAAAATGACTGCATGTAGAAATATTGTACAGAAATTTAGGTGTTAGTTACAGCTTTGGGTCAATCTGTGGACCTCTGCACCAAAAGCAAACTACATATAAAGCCCATAATGTGGTCTTACATTGTGTAGGTCATCTGCTTTACACAGACAGAGACTGCAGATGGGTTAACAGTGAGAAGAATCATTCTTATTCCTGCACATTTTTCAAACTAATAAAGATGATGCATTTTGAAGCACTGAAAATGAGAAACGGTGTCCTGGTAACTCTGGATAATCCACTGAACACTTTTCACAGAGACTACTTCTTTGGTAGGAAGGAGTTAATGACAACTGTTCGCAAGTCTGTGGATTATACAGAGTAATCAGGACATTGTTTCTGGAAAGACATGTTGCTTTGTACTTCTTTCAATGCTTTGAACACCGAGGCAGAAATCTAAGGAAAGCAGATTAGCTCAGAATTTGTCTCCTTCTGCCTGCTGTTTGATGTTCTACACTTCCTTTAATATAGTGTTAAATCGCCAGCTGCAATCGAGCTGCAAATAGCAGCCAGTGTTTTTATGCACCTGCAGACTGACTGTGTTCTTCAGTTGAAAATAACTGTATGGAAAAAGAATATGCAGGATGACTGTAGATGCGGGGTGTTCTTACTTCTATTATGGCCTGCTGCTCATATTATGGCATTTCACTTTGAATTGACATCTGCCTTTTTGATTGTATGAACCTGAGGAAAAACATGTTTTCTCTGCTACTGGCATAATGGATCATGGGATATGAGAGGAGCTGAAGTGTCTATGAAAATAATATGCAACTGAGTATTTGGACAATTACACACTTTTTGTTATTCGGGTTCTAATTTGAGTGGGTTTATGTCAATATAGAAATAACATATATATATTATTATATCATATTTAATATTTTGTGTTAAATCCTTTGCAGTCATTAACTGCCTGAAGTCTTTGACCCATGGACTTCAGCAGGCGCTCTGTATCCTCCCTGGCGATGCTCTCCCAGGCTTTCACTGCAGCCATCTTCAACTTTTGCTTGTTGTGGGGTCTCAAGTCTGGTCTTCAGCAACTGGACTGCAGAGATCAGGTGACTGACTCGGCCCGTCAAAGATAGTCCACCTCTTCACCCTGAGAAGCACTTTGGTTGCTTTGGACCTGTGTTTAGGATTGCTGTTCTGATGAATGATGAAATGTCATCCATTGAGTTTTGAAGCACGTGGCTGAATCAGAGCACACACAACGCTCCTGTGTACCTCTGCATTCATCCTGCTGCTTCCCTTCAGCCATAAGAGAACCACCACTATGTTTGACAGATGAGGTGGTAGGGTTGGGTCATGAGCTGTTCTTTTTTTTCCTCCACACTCTATTCTTTTCATCACTCTTGATAGAGATTGATTTTTGTTTCATCAGTTCAAAGAACTTTATTTCAGGACTCAACCCGTTTCTTTCTCTATGTTTTGCAAACTGCAACCTGGCCTTTCTGCTTTTGAGCCTTACCAGGGGTTTGCACCTTGTGACGGATCCTCGGAGGTTATGATCATGAAGTCGTTGACAAGGAAACCTGGAAAGCATTCTTGACTTGCTGCGCAATCATAATGCGTTTGTTGTTCACAATGCAAATAATTTTCTGGTCATCCATAAGACTTGTGCTCCATGGTTGACCATTATTATTGTCTCCACTTGCATGGTGACCTCTTTATTCCTCATAGTGACAGACAGCTACCCAAGGAACATTTAGTGGCCAAGTGTCCAATTACTTTTGAACCCTTGCAATTTGGGCACTTTCAACTGTGCGTGAGACAAAAGGGCTATATTTCACACACAGTTCTCTCTCTCAGAGCCTGAAGAACAAAAAAATGCATAATACTTAAGGTGTGAACTGTAGATTTCCTTACATTTCAACTGCAGAAACAGGCGTCTACTAGTACTCTAGCTGCCAGGAAAGCGTTCAGATATACTCACCAAGGAATACAAAACAGCTGTCAGCATGACCTCCATGTTCACAAACATCAATTGCTGTTTGCACCAGCATTTATAAATGCTAGCTGGCAATTAAAAACTATATTAAAAGAGGTTTAAAACATTGAATGGCAGGGAAAAGGAGACAAATTTTGAACAAGAGAAATATTTCCAAACCTGGGCAAATAAAACTAAAACTATCTATATTATCTGATTCCACTAACGGTTAATCATCATTTGTTTTGTTTTTTTCTCTGAAAGAAACATTTAAATGTCAATGGATGGTATATACCTGTATCTTGCGCAGCTGGGTGAGCTGTTTGCGCAGGTCGGTGGCATTTTGCTGCAGGCCGTGCAGGTGGAGCTGCATCTGCAAGCGGCCGACGCTGTTCACCTGGTTTATGTTAGAAGGTGGTGGTGGTATGCATATATATATATATATAGTATATCTATGAGGTGCTCCGATCTGGTCTGTAATGATATAAGTGAGGAGGATCTAGTATAAGTGGGGGGTCTGGGGGTGGGGGCGGGGAGGTTATTGCGAAACAAAGTGGTTAGTTTACTGGGCTGTGCTCCAGTGAGATTTGCAGTAACCCAGCTTGACACACAGTACAAACAGTAACACACAGTATACAGGCTCAAAGAAATGTACACACACAGAAAATCTGGGCGCACACACTTGAACTAATAGAGTGTGTGAATGCAACAAAAGCACCATATTCACAAAACTCTAATAGCCCACTGGGAGAAACGTGAGCTCATGCCATTAGTATCATATATAGAAGTGCAATTAGTCTATTCAATAGTCACACACGGGGGGATAACCATGCTCTTATCTTAACAGAAGGCTTTGTGAGTATGGCTATTGACTCCCCAGCTTTTCTCACTCACATATGCCTCTTCAACATACACACTCTCATATGCTCATAAAGTGCCTGGTCTGTGACAAAACAACCCCAAAAACCAAGCAGAGATTCAAACAGCAGAGACAGAGACAGGACGAGGAAAGGTCCGCTCTCCGTGAAACCAACCAGGAGGAAAACGTGAGGATAAGACCCCGGCAGCTACCCAGAAACGCCACACACCCATACAGAGGGCCGATAGCCATGAGAGAGGTCTGATAGGAGAAATAAAAGGGAGGAAAGAGTAGGAGATGGCAACTACCTTTCTGCTTCAGCCGTCCAGCTGGAATATAGAAAGAGTGAGCCAGTTACCGAGAAATTAATGAGAGAGTGAGAGAGAGACAGCAAGGGAGAGGAAAAGCTTAAAAGTTCATATTTACAGAATGATGATCCTGGAGAGCATTTTTATTTACTACAGCAGAGAAAATTACTCCGGTGATGGCTTGGTCTTTTGGCAGTGGAACTATTAGTGAGGAAGCTTCAAAGATAACTGTGTCCTTGCAGCGGCCCCATGAAGGTCTGGCCACAGAGAAGGTATGTTTGTGCCAAAAGTGCACCACAAAGTTATACCATAATGAACAGGGTAAAAAAAAGAAGAGGAAAACAGAAACAGGGATGCGAGGAATAAGAGAAAAGAAAAGAAGTTAAAGGGTTTCATTCAATATATTTTGATAATAGATGTTGAAATATGATTCCTGTCAGTATTTAAGAATTCTATACTGAAAAATATTAGTTTTGTAAGTTAAATATTTTATAAATAAATAAGTAATAAATAATCTTTTTGACAATTTATTTTGAAAAAAAAAATACACTTAAACATAAAAGTCAATCTCCCTGCATCCAGTAAAGTACAGCATCTCGCCGTTTTTTGTATTTGTGCTTAATAAAGCTAAAACCTTCTCCACACTGGACAAGTTAAGATTAAATTAATGCTGATTTTCTCATCTGGCTTGGCAGGATAATACTCAAGTGTCTTTCCCTGCACTGAATTGCACTGTTCTTTTGAAGGTTTGCAATTGCCTCCATCTTCAACCATTCTATAAAGTGGATTTGAGCATGCCATCATTCTTGTTGTCTGTTTTTTCAAATGGCGAATGAATCATTTGGAATGAAACTCTTCAACTTAAATAGAGAAAGACATAGTGAAAGAGAAACAGATAAAAGAGAATGAGAGATGAATAAAGTAGAAATCTCAGTGAGAGCTTAAGGGTGCTTTCACACTCAAGCCATTTGGTTTGGTTAAAACAAACTCTTGTGTGCATTTGCCTGTGTGCTTTTATTTGTTTGGGCTGGTGTGAAAGCTGTTAATCAAACTGTATTGTGTATTTTGACAGTCCATTAAGTCCATTCAAAAGTACATGATAAAGAGAACCCACCAGAGCTGCAACTATTTATCAATTAATCATTCAAGTGACAGAAAATTAGTCAGTGACTATTTTGATAAAGGAATAATAATTTTTGTGATTTTTCTGAGCAAAAAAAATGCCAAACATGTTTCTGTTCCAGCTTCTCCACTGTGAAGATCTGATGCTCTGTCATGCATGAATATATATTTACTTGTTTGAAAGGGACAGTGCTCATTAATCAACTAAAATTAGAATAATTTTGATGATATCATTGTATTTTTGGGATTTGGTCTGCTGGTCAGACTCTGACAAAATATCTGAACACCTTGTGGCTTGGGGAAATTGTAACATCCATTTTTCCCAATTTTCTTACATTTCATCAAGAAAATCATCAATTAATGATGAAAATGATTGTTCGTTACAGTCCCACAGTGATCCCTCCACTTATATTGCGGTACAAGTCAATTTCATTATTCATAACATGCAGTCAATATACAGTCTAATAATACTAGTAATGCCAATAGTCATTTATTCCTTTGTTTGTTTTCAGTGAAACCAGAAAACATGAATATACACAGTCAGTGTGATCAAGAACTGGATCAGAAGTAAAAAGGAATCTTGTTTTTCCCTTTGTCTGGACCAAATGAACTGAACTACAAGTGTGAAAGGAACCTTAACCACCTCAACAACTCTCAACTAAATCAAGAAGGTCATAGAGACAACAGCTTCCTGGCCTGATCACATGTTGTTCTCATTCCCATTGTGACAGCACTGTCAGATTTAGTCTTAAACCAGGAGATCACCATTTCACATGCGTAGTTCATTATCCTTTGTAAATTCCAGTTCATTATTATCAGGAAAAAGAAACTGTAAAAGAAACTCTAGACAGCGCAGGGGTTACCACGGCAGCGGTTCTGTTAGTAACAAGTAGACTAGTGAGTAACGATACGGTACACAGGTCACCATTACGCTGCTGTACTCACTTCCAGTGGCGGAGCCGTCACTGTTGGTTTCGGTCTTCTCGCTGGAAGAGAAAGGTAATGGCCGTGAGAACTCCGTCCCTTGGTCCGGAGGGCAGCCCGCCATCATGCAGAGACGCAGCAGGCCGCATCTGAGGATCAACGGCCACAGGGCAAGGCAATTACAGTGCTAACGCTAACAGCACTACTACTGGACACTATCAGACTGATTACATTAACAAGTTATTGTCTTGTTAATGAGCCCCTATTGTTTCCATGAGGGTGAAGTGACATGATAACAATGTTCAGTGTTCAATGTAAATGACCTCAAAATCTAAACCCATTTTACAGGTCTGTCTGTATCAGTGCATAAATCAATAGTACTGTGTCTTAGAGCTAATGTTTAGTGCTCTGTACTTGTGCTGTGCTCACACAAAGTAATGCACCACTTCACTTCTATGGAACTGATAATGGCTGTGATAATAGCCTGCTGCTGCTCCTGTCAATAATGCTGCTTATGTGTCTGAGCTGAAGCTGTATCTGTGAGTTTTAGTGGGTTAATGGGGGATAATGGAGAGTCTTACGTGCTGTCACTGTCTGGTGCTCTGGTCAGCACACTCTGGACCAGGCCAGTCAGGCTGGCTATCTGCTTCTCCATGGCCTCCATACGCTCCAGGCGATGATCCCTAGGAAAGTAAAAGCTACAATTGTGTAACAAAACACTTAAAGCACTCATGAATAGGTAATTGAAAAAATTTGGATTAGATGCAATTGGGTACATAATAGCTTTTGCATTTTGCAATGCATTAGTTTAAGCAGTTAAGCTTTTTAAAGCACCTTAAAACCTCAGAATAAAGTATCTTCTTCAAAAACTACTAAATAAGCAACAATCGAAGTTGAAGTTGGAAAAAATATTATCAGATATAAAGCAATAGTAAAACTCAGTTCATTTTCTTTGCGTGATTTGATATGATTGATTTACAGTGACAGTCACAGCCCATTAACCAGCAAGAAGAACACAGACAAAACACAAATACAGAACGATCAGTAATGTTTTCAGTTTTAGAAGACAGTATAGCGTTCATGTAGAACTCTGTTGGTCAGAGGCTGATTTAGAAAAAAAAGGATTTTCAGGACCTTCGTCAAACAGCACAACATACGTTAATGAAACTCAGCACACAGACTGGTACTGACCTGCTAGTGTCAGAGTCTTGTCCAGACAATGAAGAACCAAAACCAGGTGTGGCCCTGCCGCCCTCCCCAGGCCCGGCTGTCAGACACAGGGGCTCTGAACCGGAGCTGGGCCTCGACTTTGGGCTTTCCACAAACACGGAGGACGAGTCCTTGCGAAACGTCTGCCTGACGGGTGAGGCTCTGCTGGGTGAGCTAGAATACGAGTCCCTGTCCCTCAGCTGCATGTCAGGAATTTTCTGTGGGGATGAGGGCGGCATGCGAAAACCCATGCCCAGAGTGGCTGAGGAGTATGTGTCAGAGTAGAGTGAGCCTCCAGGCTTGTAGAGGGAGTCCTCCAGATCGCCCTGAAGAGCAGCGGCCGAGTAGGTGCTAAGGGATCGCACAGAGCCACGGCGGTACAGGCCACTGGAAACAGGGAAGCTAAAGGGGTCCCCAATGGCAGCTAAAGACTGGGTGGAAGCAATGCTGAGGCGGCCCTCGTGCATCAAGCTGTAGGGATCTGCATACAGCCCCTCGTTCTTCATTAATGCCATGTTTTTCGCAGACACTTCTTCATCAGGCTTGACATCACGGCGCTCTAGGATGGCGCTGGGTGAAGGAGACAGGCCTGCATTGGCAGCGTGGCTGGCTGGGGGATGGTGAGGGTGTCGGGGCTGTTCATGCTGGGGATGGGACCCGGAGAAGGAGGGAGGGCGGCCCCCGCTGTAGGAGAGGCGTGAACGGGAGGGAGAGCCAGAAGACCCTGAGGCCGTAGAGGAGGGGAGGGTGTTGAGGCGGCGAGTTGGAGAGGAGTCGCGAGAGGAGTACACCATCTCCCTCTGAAATGAACAAGCAGGGCTGGAAGTTACCATGGAGATTTGTACATGACAGTGCTGTTTTTGCAACGTGTCAGGACAGGCTATCACAATCTGCAGATGCCAATAGAAGATGATAAAGTTCTCAAAAGAGCAATTAATTGCAGAATTTAGTGTATAAAAATGTTAGAGTTTTAAAATGAAAGATAATGGACTGTGTGGGCCAAAATGGAAACATTTCAAGAGGTCAATATCCAATATCCATTTATTCTTTCCAGTAGTGATAGGATACAAGAGTCAAAGGTGGCGAATATATTTATATGCACCATTTTCAACTTAGCTTTTATTTTTCTCTACCTGCCTTCTTTTGTAAAGCATCATAACGTCATTAAACACGTCCAGATGCTCTTGTCAACCCTCCTCTGCCTCGCTTTTCCTCCTGTGGATTTACACCTGCTGCGGTTTTGCTTATTTCTGGAGCTTTCAAAAAGCCAAACACTGTTTTCCCTTGTCACAGAACTACTTTTGTTACTTAACTCATCCCTGTTTTTCGTCTCTTTTTTTTCTGTTTGTTTCGCAGCATTCAAACTAACCTTGTCATGCGGCACTATGTAATACACAGAAAATATTGGAGCGCGACAAAAGAATTTGTTCTGCTGAGCCTTTATGCCCAGGGACAAATTCATAAACATATATTCACGGCTATATGAGATGGTGTGGTTTGCACAAACTGTATGGACACAGTGTAAGCAAGCAGCAAAATATATAAAACACAGATCGAACCTTGACTTGCTTTAGAAGACAGAACCCCCCCCCCCCCACACACACACACACACACACACACGCACACACACGCACACACAACATGCACAGGAGTACATGAATGGCAAGATGCTTGTTAAGATGCAGCCTGCGTTTAGTCTCGAACAGTTATAAAGAAGATATATCTTCTTGAACTGTGGATCTCACATTTACTGTGAAAGATGATGGGTAACTTTGATGATTCTCTGTGTTGCTCAATAAAAGTGTCACTTAAAATCTTGCCTGTAGGATTTCCTGGTATCAAACTCAGTTTGAGGGCGTATTAAAAAAGATGTGCTTCTGCAGTTTAAGGGTGTCGGTCAGCTCTCACTTTACTTTTGCCTTTGTACACACAGGCACAAAACATGCATGTGAGTGTGCACAAACACACACACACACAAAACATACAGCACAGTACATGCACACCACAATATAGACAGGCATAATTGTCGTTTTTCACTCCCTGTTTGCATCGTTAATAGCAGTATTGTGTGAATAATACAGATGGTAAGCAGGGTTTTGTATAAAATAATTAAAAAAAAAAAAAAAAGGTTTCCCTCAGGCTTCCTTGATCTTCACTGAAGCAGAAATAGCTTCGGTTGTTAAAATATGCTCATTTCACAGAGGAACATTGTTCTCTGGTGTCTGCACAGCAACAGATGGCCTACTTGAAGATAAGAAAATCCATTTCCAGGAGGAATACCTGTTAAATTACTAGCCCACATGCACTGCAACAGCCTGTCAAAGTTACCATTGAATTACAAAAAAACACTATTACCTTGCCAAAGAAACGCACTGCTCCTCTTTTTGTAGAGGTACATTATTATAGCAGTTCTCACTGACGACTCAGTTGTCAAACATCAGACTTGCAGGAGATCAGACAGCATTTTTTGCTCTAAAATACCCCGGATTGGCCTCTTCACCTCCCCACTCCCCCCAGCTCCTTTCTCCTCACCCTCAGGTCTCCATTAGCCAGGTGTGCAGCAGCAGGATAAGAAGCATAGATGGGCTCTTTGCGGTAAATCTTGATGATGCTGCGGTCCTGGATGTCCCGCACATCCTCCAGCTCGTAGAAGACGTTACGTGCCTCATCCTTGATCAAGATGGCTGTGTTGGGTGACTTCAGCATACCCGCTGTCAACTTCTGAGGGAACATGTGGACGATGAGGGCGTGCAGCGTGTCCAGGCTGCTCAGCTCGTGGGTGATGTGCACCCGGCGTGTCTCATCCCCGTACTGCAGGAACAGCACGCCTAAATAAGGGCGATAGAGAAGAGATAGCTGAGCCAGAAGGTAATGGCTTTAGTGGATAGAGAAAACAACTAGAAAAGTAATTCTGTCTAATCTTGTGGAGTGTTTTGCCATTTTCAAGCTACAGTGTTGTTAATTATGTTCCAAATGTTCTGCCTCTTGGTATACGAGTTCTAGATAATGATTTTTACTATAAGATCTCAGCATGAACAATCAGTGACAGTGTAAACATCATTTCTCTCTTTTTGAATGTGGGAACAGGCCTGTGGGAGCTGTCTGAGAGAATTCACAACTAGAGTGCGAAGATTTATCTTCAAGTTAGGTCGAACTTTTAGTACTACTTTTCAAGTAAAACTTACTTCCTACCAATAATTAAATAGAAATAGAGAATATTAGACTACCCCAAAATAGCCACACTTCACAGAAAACTTTGCTGCAACCCCTTGATTTTGTAGGAAAAGACGAGTCTGATGCCTGACTAACCTGAATATTCATCTTCATACACCGTGGGACAAACAAAAAGAACAAACAAAGCAAAGAAAGACCAGTGATTAAAAATCAAGCAAAATTAAGTGAGATACTGCAGACGAATCAGGGAGAGAAGAAAACAAAGACAGTGGTTAGTATAGAGACATGGAGTGGAAAGATTGACAGCGCTGCTGTTCTGTTCATCAGTCACTGCCACTTTAGTTTTACAGCCACTTTTTTTTTTCTCAGCGTGGCTGATATAACACCACACCTTGGTCTTTATGAGTTTGAACCAGCCTCACACTAATCCTCTCTATACTCCCAAAGTCCTTTTGTAGTAAACCTGTTCTTGACTCTGTAGTTTACTCATGCAGTTGCATATAAACATATCCTCGGTACAGGTGTGCAATGTTACAGTCAAATAAACAGTCACTAAATTACCTGAGCAAAATATTATGATTTAATAATTCTGTACTAAATGTTGTAAAATATACTTATTAAGCTCATACACCTGCACAGAATTAATGAAAAAAACATTTGCTCATGCATTCTGGCTGAATAAATTGCAAACATATTGTCTATAGTGACAAGATGAATTTTTCTAAGTGTAAAGTCATGACTGACTGCTCTCAAGTTCTCTGCAACAGAGCAATTAGACTAAACTAAAACTGTAACAGTAAATGAAGTGAGAGGATAAGAATCCTTCCCTTTCTGTGTAAGCACACAGAAAGGGAAGGGTTCACATCACCAGTTATATTAAGTAAACAGACAGCCGCAAATTCTCCTCATGTCCAACCAGCGTGTTGTGACAGAACCTGCCAGAGGTGCTTCAAATGTTAACCTGGAGATCGTAGCTTATTCTGGCTGGCAGAGCGGGACAGCGGCAGGCTCTGGCGGAAGCGGTTCATCCGGTTGAACCCCAGGGGGATGTCGGCTTCTGACATGGTCTCCAAGGATTCAGCAGAGGCAAAGGAGAGCTTGGCGGCCTGGTCGGCAAGCCCAGACTGGGTAGACTGGGAATGCCGTGGACTGCGGCTCTGCAGGGGGAGAAGACACATGGAGAAACAAAATCATCTAGTGAGAGGTTAAATCGAGGCGGAAAGAATGGATTGGACGTGGCCAATGGAGTAACACCAACCGGAAAAGAGACAGTGAACACACAATGAGACTCCACACAATGAACCACATAACAAGATTAACGAGACCTTGACAATGGTTTAGCTACTAGTCATTCATTGAGAATTACCAGCGTCACAGTATCTGACATCAGTTGAATGCTGCAGCAGAAAAACACAATAAAGTTGTGCTGAAATGGCCCAGCACTCCAGGGCATCAGCCTCCATGAATCACCTACAGTGGGTGAGGAGTAAAATTAAGCCGGAAACTGCGCTCCAGCTTAGCATAAGTTATGTCATGTTTACTCAACTCTGCACACCTCCCACATGCCCTCATCCAAACTCTTGTCCCTGTGCAGCTACAAACTTTAAATGAATGCTTGTGGGATGGGAGGAGAAGCTCATGCAAATCCCGGGCTGTCACTGTGGGTTTATCCTGCTAGCCTATGCCCAGGCGTCTCTCAATGAAAGACTGTTAGTGCAGCTGGGGCTGAGCTCACTGAACTGGCTCCCTGATCCCCCACTGCTGTAGCGTCTCCTCCAGCTCAGAGGCTGCTGTAATGAGCTCCCAGAATGCTATCTTCTGATTGTTTGGATGGCAGCGGCAGACATATCCTTAGCCACAGTACAGTAGCGGTGCCTGTTTCCTCCTCCTTGCACCGTGAACAGTTTTTCCTCTTTTCAAGGATTTCTTCCTCTCCCTTCGTCTGCCTGAGTCAAACTGCAGCATGGCTCTACTGTGGGTTTCATTAATGTGGTATTTAATTAATGTGAGACTCTGACTGAAGCTACACAGAGGGCCATCTCTGCGCTCACAGCGGAGAGCTATTTGAATTCATTCATACACACACACAGCACTAAACAGAACCCATTTGTACATCCATTTGTGATTTTGTTAGCTGGGCAATAAGCCAGGAGGCCATGCTGCACAGTAAACTGGGGCTGCAACTAGAATCACTTTAATCACAGATAGTTTTTCAATTAATTAATCATTTAATCCATAAAATGACAATAAACAAGCAAACAAATTTCCATCAAAATATCTGAGAAACCAAGTAGGAATCCTTAAATTGTTCATGTCTGACCAACAGTTCAAAAGTCAACGGTATTCAGTTTAAAATTATGTAAATCAAAGAAACGTAGCAGATCAAACTCAAACTGGAAAATGCTCTACATTTTTAGCTATGCTAGCAGCATGGCTGTATGGATGGTAACGTAACTACTTGATGGACAGCCGTGAAATTTTGTATAGACACTCATCTTTCAATTTGTTCAATACTGTGGTTTATGAGCAAAAGTACTGGAAAAAATCTAAATATATTCCCATTAGCCTCTTCTGTATTTTGTGTTCAGTGCTAACTTGGTGCTAAAAACAAGCAACAAGACGGTGAACATGGTAAACATTACACCTACTTAACATGAACATGTTAGCATTTAGCTCAAAGCACCGCTATGCCTAAATACAGCCTCACAGAGCTGCTTGCATGGCTGTAGACTCTTTAGCTTGCTGCTAGAAAGATGTATTAGTCAATTAATCATGTAACTCATCTATCAATGAGATAAATGATTGTTGCTGATTAAACATTGGTAAATCAATTAAATAATTCATTGTTGCAGCAGTACAGTACAGTACAGTACATTAACTACACTACAGTACATGGGACTATCATTGAGAATTTGCTCTTTAAATCGTGTGTTTATGAGGCTAGTTACAAACCCCCATCAGGTCTGAGAACTGGAAAAATCCTTTTTGTAGTGTACTCTCCCTCTGTCACTATCATACATAATTCAGTCACACACACCCACACACAGAATGATAGTGGTGGTGTCCAGTGATAGTGGTGGCAGACAGTGTCTGAGCACGCAGAGGGATGGTGATTCTGACAGATAACACCCACCATGTTTTCTAATAGGGTAATTTATCTAAACTGTGACCACACTGAACAACAATAACACCGTCAACAGCTCCGCAGAGGAGCAGCACATACTGCATTGTGTCATATTCTGGTGAACTACAGTGAGATATGAAAGACATTAGAGGCAAATTCAATGTGAACATGGTATAATAGACATATTTGGTAGGGTTGGTGTTCAGTACCATTTCATCTGATCTCTTTGAATTCCTTAGATTTTGTTATGTATTCACCAATTTCAGGTAGGGAATGTTATAAATGCAGTAACTTCATATGAAGCTACCATCAACGGTTGTTAGCTTAGCACTAAGACTGGAAACAGCTTGCCTGGCTCTGTCCAAAGGTAACGACCACACAATTTCTTGGCTCTGAGCAGTTGCCAGGCAACCAGCAGAGAATACAGGAAGTTACTGGTCCCCATCAAGAAATAGTCCAACACATAACCCACCATTAAACAGTGCATTGTTGTTTTTTTCACTTTTGCTTTTGTAAGGATTTAACATGCAATATATAAAGTGTAAATTAGTGAGCTTCAGAGGGGCTAGCAGGTGATTTTTGTTAGCATTAGATGGAGCCAGGCTAGCTGCTTTTTTGCTAAGCTAAGCTAACTGGTTATAGCTTCATATTTCAACATAAGAATGGTATCTATCTTCACAGCTAAGTCTCAGCCAAAAAGAAATAAGTGTATCTCCCAAAATGTCAAACTAACCTTTAATCTAAATCTCAGACCTAAACTCAAAATTTACTGTATAATTAGTAGAATTTCTCAATGCTAATAAAAAGGCAAGTGAAAAAAGTTTTGATATGGCATTTGTTAGAATCTGAGCTGAACAAGCAATCCTGGTATTTATCCAACTTGGAACAGGAACTGTATTGGAACCAGCTGTCTGAGCTCAACCCAATTACTCAGTAAGGGTAACAGACAAATTCATTTGGCATAGCAATGCAATAACAGCTTTCAGTTTGAATGGGAATGGCCACCATGTCTAAAACATCAAAGACAATTTTTCCTGAGAATATCTGTTCATTTTTCCCCCCCTGCACAGCTGAGAAGAGAAGAAAAACACTGAGCAACTCCACGTTTCAAAATCTTGAGTCATTCTACTGCTGCATGTGACAATTTTATCTCAAGGCTAAATAACCTAGTTGGAGCTTTCTATGAAAAGGAAAAGGGAATTGAGAATACGGTGCCGCTGCAGCTGCATGACTGAACTCACTTCTCACAATGTCTCACATTTAAAATTTCTGAAGCAGCTGAAAAAGGAAAAAAAAACCTGAGTAGGGAAAGTGACAGAGTAATGCTCTACTCTCTCAACAGCTACTATGATGAAATCCAAATATATGAATGTGGGTAATCTTACCACAGCTGCTGTTATATATGCTCTTAATCAGCTTGCCTTGTTACAACAGGCTTGTTACAACACTGACTTCCATATTGGTGGTTTATGTGATATGAAAACTGAAAAAAATCTCTCTGCAGTAATTTTGCATTGTAAATGTTATATGTGAATACACCATCTGGTCATGCATCTGGTCCTGCTAGACATGCCAATGTTATACATGATGGTGTCCACAGCCTCCTTTGAGATAAACTGGTTCTACCTCCTTCTTATTTTCCTCTACAATCCTCCCTCTTACACCTCCCTCCCTCCACCTCAACCTTTTCTTTTAGAGTAATCTAGACTTTTTCAACAGCACTCAATTACTGTCGAGAACTCTACAGTGTTATAAGGGCATGGCGCAAGTGAGGAACAAGGAGGGAACAGGGTGATCTTACACGCAACATAAGCGAATCGAATGGAAAGCGGTACACGGCAGCCTGACAACAGACCTTAGGCTACAAACTGCATTAAACTCAACGCAGCCTCCCACCATGTCTTTTCTTGTTTCGTGTTTTTTTACACACAAGCATGAGTACATTCACACACACACACACACACACCTACACACACACACACACACACAGACACACACACACACACACACAGACACACACACACACACACACAGACACACACACACACACACACAGAGTGTTTTAAGGTCAAGATAATGGGAGATTTTTGTATGTTTTTATTTTTTTATGTCTAGGAGAGGACAGTTCATCAAACTCCATCTGACACTTCACTGTTGCATTACTTAATGTGAAGACCTCTTAACCTTGCACAACTGCATGTGCTTTCAGTTTCACTTCAATACAAGCTGACCTTAAAAAAATGATTTGCTCTTCTTCTTCTTCTTCTACATAATATTTTGATGAAAAATGCAAAAGAAGTAACAGGAGAACCAGTTTTAAACATGCTGTAGTTAAACAGCATGGATGCTTTCTGGCCAATTAAATGGCCAGATTAAATTTATCTGAGAAATTTCTGACAGATTGCTTGTTTTACAGTTTGAAGGAGGGGTCACGACACCTGATTAATTGCCTTAACGACCAATGAGCTGGCTGTCAGATGATCGGATGGATTTCTGGCATTACATTTTGGTCAGCTGTCTCGCAGTTTGAACAGTTCTGCAGTTCGATTTCCCTCATGACTCATGTCACAAGATCCATCCAAGATCCATTACAGGCTGTAGTGAACTTGATTTAATATTATTTTACGTGTTGTGGCTAAAATTGTAGCCATGATATATAAACAGCATCAAACATATCTGCATCTTCCAGCCTTCCAGTCTTACTTTCTGTTTGTAGTGGAATTGCACCAAGTAATGCTGCCTTTCTCCCCTTTTGTCAGCATTGTTGAGGATGTGGTTGTCATGTCAGAATCAACTTTATTAGAACTGTCAAAACACTAGCCAGTCTGTTACTATCTAGGCTGGGGTTTAGTAATTGGTACTAAAAAAGTCCAGAGGTCAGCTCATGACATGATAGTTGCTGCGAGGCTCTTCTTTCTAACTGTCTCCCAGAGTGCATTATTCTGCTGGACTTGACTAAGACATCAGCAACAGACACGTCAAGCATAGCTTGATGTGTGAGAAATGACAGTGAAGTCTTTGGCTCCAGGGTATCAAATGGCGGTGTTAAATAGTTAAAATTGCAAACCTCACACCTTACCTGCATCTCTTCCAATCTTTTTCCTAGAGCTTTTCATTTCTCCTCCTAATTATATCTTTCTCTTCCTCAACAGCTTGCGTCTGTCTTTGCCTCCAGTTGTCTGTCTTCCTGTCCTCACTTTTTATCCCTCGTCACTCATTTGTCCTCTCCCACCACTCCCAAAGCTCGCTTCTGATTCTTGCTGAGCTGCTTTATGTCAACATATCTGCCTCTTTCTCTGTCTGGAGCGGCAGAGGCCAGAGCTGCATCAAGGTGTCTGCATTTGAGTATTCTGAGACATTTTCTCTCTCTATCCCTATCCTGGCTCTTTTTCCCCGCACACAAAAAAAGTCTACAGCTCTCATTTTCACAAAATGGAGAGAGAAAACAGCTCCCTGAATCAATCCATCTCACATCTGTTTGTCTCTGCTCGCTCTTCGCCCACTATCATTATTTCTCAGTCTTTTTCAACTCTCAGGCCAATCTTCAGCCTGGACATGCAATTCCTGAGTCCTGTCTCTTTATCATACCAGGAGTTATCAATGCATGGAACAAATTGCTTTGCCAAATTGCTGCGAATTGCATAGTCAAGACGAAGTTTGCTCAGAAGGAGTGGGAGCAAAATGGTGTCCTCTTTGGGAATGGAGATCATGGCTGGAATTGCTGCCATGTTTCTCTTCTGATAGATAGTAAAGTCTATAAAACAGTAGCCTCGAACATGTTGACAAGCTACATGTTCCAGATAATTTCCTTTAAGGTTTACAAACTGTCTGAATTTAATACATTACTGTCTGATAAGATCCTTGATGTGAATATTTTTTTCAGAGGTGTAAAACGAGTGTAGTGCAGTCCTCATGGTAGTCCTGTTCGGTGTTTATTTTCAGGAGGCAGGGGAATCCAGCGAGAGAGTTGAGCTTAGATTAGAGGTGGTGGGATGAGGGAGTAGGATGGGGCTTTCAGAAGCTTTACTGCGAAATGAAGAAAACTGAGCAGGATGAGGTGTCAACAACAGTGTGTGTGTTGAAAGCAAATGACTTTAGATCTGGAGCCACATGGAGCATTTTGGTTCTTTCACTCGACGTTTTATTACCACTGCAGCACCTTGTGGTGCCAATAAATAAATTGTAAGTCTTGCTGTGTGGTGATAAAGCTACCATACTTGATGTATTTTTTTGGCCGCTGCAAAGCAACAACAAGTGATTAACTGCAATTTACTCCACTAGGAAGTGCAAGGAACCAAATCATCAATAAAACATTATATTCTTTTAGAGCTGCAACAATTAGTAGATTAATCGATTATCAGAGAGTGAATCAACTATTTCGATAAGCGATTAACTGTTTCAGTGAATTTCAAAGCTATTTATAATCATCATTCTCTGTTTTGAGCTTCTAAAGCGAGAATATTTTCTCTCTATTTCTCTGTTTTATATCCTTGTAAACTGAGTGGCTGTGAGTTTTGGACTGTGTCAGACAAAATAAGACATTTGATTGCGTCCGCCTGCCTCTGAGAAATTATAATGAGCACTTTGACACTTTTTTGGACAAAATGATTAAAATAATCTGTAGATTAAACAATAATCATCATCATCATAAAAAAACTTTGATGGTTTGACAATCATTCTTCATATTCATGCCTACGTACTCATACTCACACTCACCTACATACTCATACTTGCAACGTTTTGCTACCCTCCTGCAGAGTTTCAAATCGTTTGGTTGTGTAATAGATTCATGTGACAGACGGGGCTCTAAATTCCATTTCATATCACTCTTGTTTGAGGTTAAAGTACTTGTGGGAGTGAGGGATAAATTGCTTAGCCTTCCCCTTGGGTCAGGGCATACAGCTATTGATATTCAGTAACATTTCCACCCTGTCCAAATGATACTGTGAGCAGGGATTCAGGGAAGACTACACCACAGATAAGCCCTGCGATCTTCCCTCTCACACATACACACATACACACATACACACATACACACACACACACACACATCAATATCAACTGTAACTTATTTAACCTGTCTCTGAGCTGCAGTGCCACAACAGAGTGATGCCCACTACAATGCATGGCCAGTTTACAAATAGGCTAAACTCTTTGAATTCCACATAAGTAATGTACACTTTCAATATGTCTTGATGCTGGCCTTCAACAGCATAGACGACCTATACTTCCTCTGTGCAACCTGTGGATAAAAGCCATTTAGCAGCCCAGCCATGGCTCGAGCATTTCTGCTAATGTCAAAGCATTATCTCAATAATGCCTCGGTGGCATGTCTGAAGTGTCTTCTTAATGTCTCAGTCAGTCTGAGTAATACTTCAGCAAGGTCATGTGACTCCTAGCCATTAATGCTAGCTGACTGAGGTATCATAAATCCTGAGAGAATCGTCTTCCGCAGATTAAATGGAGAAGTTTAAGCTGTCGCCACCCCTGACACCTCTGCCACCGCAACCCAACACACACTACAATCTCACACACGCACACACGATGCCCAAGGAGCCAAGAGTCGCCAAGTGAGCTGGGTGTTGCAGGAGCCAGACGACCAGGGAGATAGGCTAGTGATGCCTGAGGAGTCTGGCGTGATCCCACAGCACAAATGACACACGCACGCACACTAGACAGGAAGAATGACAAACACACAGGGACACTTAGACACGCAGCACTGACCTTAAAGCTCCAGTAGTTGGGCTGTTGCTGTGGAGTTTCATGAAGGACAAAGGAGGAAAAGGAGAGAGACATAAAGGGAAAAGTTAGATACTTAACAATGGCTTGTGTTTACTGATATAAAGAAGAAACTGGATGGGGCAGGAGATAGAGGCTGCACGCTTTGGAAGCAATAATCCAACGCATCCTCCACAAAAAGCGTTATCAGCTGCATTTTATAAATTGTTTTTGTGTGACACGTTCTTTTTCTGACAGGCTGTTTATGAAACTCATTAACATTGTTGACGGCGTCATCTAATGCAGCCATCTAAACAACAATCATTAAAGTGTGATTGGTGTTAATGCAGGGGGTGGTTGTGTTTTGCAGGCATCAGGTTACAAGGCACCTGTAACAAGACTGCACTGTTGGCTGCAGCTGGTGAAGGGGAGGAAATGAAAAGAGTGAAATCGAATCAAACAGCGGCCCACTCTGTTGTTGTGACGCTGGCCTCTCTCCCAGACTTCTCCGCCACAGGCAAGCAACAACCGCACTGTCTCCTCCTCGCTCTTCGCCTGTCTCTTTCGCTCTCCATCCACCTGCCGCGCTTTCACTCTGAACCTCGCCACCTCACCTGCTTATTTTATTTTCAGCAGCACATGGCTGGTACATCTCATCTGTCCATTTGCCCTTCCTGCTGCTCTGCCATGTATGAAAAGGTGCTCGCATGTTGGCAGTGGCCTCAGGAAGTCAGCTTTTCTATTAAAACGTAATTACCTTACAGTTAAAACCAGGTCAAGCCACTGATGGCCCAGAAATACCTCAAAATGACACGGAAAATTAAAAAAAGATTTGGCAGAGTTCATGAATTTTAATTCTAATCCAAACTCTTATTCTAGTTCTTATTCTTATCTGCAGGCAATTTTCTGTCCATTCAGCCTCGCTGCTACAGGACTCACATTACTCTCCAGGCGCAGGGATAAAAAAAAAAAAAAAAAAAAAAGCGACAGGCAAGTTTTGATTTATGATAGCAGGTGGTTTTTCATTATCAGGCTTCCATTTTAATACTGTCTCAACAAAAGCCAAGATTATTTCAGTAAACACAAGCATCAGGGGCAGCATCTTCACTGATTATTACCTTATTGTAATTTAATCTTTCACTTAATGTTCCCTCATTTGGCCCTGTTGCCATTCTTCCAGTCCTTCCATCTTTATGCTTTTCTCTCTTTCTTTCTTCCTTTTCTGTCTCTATTTTGGAACGACTTCTTGTTTGGTCTTGATCCAGTATGAGGTGTTCTACTTACAGTAATCCAAGGAAGTAATGTGTCCTGGCCAAGAAAAACATCTAGTCTAACACAGTGTAACATTAACAGGGCTGTGTCCCAGTTCCACACAATGCACAAATATATACTATACAACATGTGCTACTTGATAATTTAGATTTTACAGTTTTTTAGCAGTTAGTATGTAAGAAATCATTGTGTTTTATGGTTTTGGACAAATAGGAGAAGATGGAGGACTGATGTCAATCAAACTTTCCCAAAAACCCAATATACTAAATACTAACTGTACACAATATGTACCACCTTAAAAAAAAAAAATTCTGATTTGATGATGATGATCAAAAAGATTTCTTTTGCAAACATGTAGTAGTTGTTTTTCATTTCTACAGTTGTTCAGCTGCAGCTGTTTGACTATCACCAACTTTCAGCAGCTCCTATTGGCTGTTTTTTTCATTTAATTCTTAACTTTAAGAATAACAAAACAGAAACAAACAACACGCCAGAATTGCAAATTATTGTTCATGCATTCCCTGATATGTTATTTCTATCTCACGATATCCATGCAGGCTGGAACTCCCCAGACATTTTCACAGCCCAGGGATGTACAGTGAGTATGATTTTAAAGTTAAATGAACTGTATATTCCTCAAGAGCTCCCAATAAATCAACATACACTACTTAGCTGCAGCTGAGTCCATTTTTTTCAATCATTAATGATGGGACCCTGAATCTTCAGATGCGGAGATCCTAAATTCCTCCAGATAAAAACAGGAGACCAGATCATTAAACCACCTCCTAAAAAAGGAGGGGAGGTAGATTTATATTCTCTCAAAGTGATACTTTTAGCAAACAAACATTGAAGCCTGCTGGGTCTCATATGGCAGTTTTAGAACAAGCCAAAACAGCAAGTAAACAGTCTGGGTCGATTTGTTTCCTAATAATTATACTAAACAGAAAGAAATATTTCCTCCTTACGCTGAGGAGAATCCCTGTCTCCTAGCTAGTTGTTCTGTTTTTTTTTTAATGCTATACACACACACACACACACACACACACACACACACACACACACAGTATATATATATTTATTATCAGTGAAAACCACATATCTCCAAAGTCTGAAAGATTAAATGCTCAATAATGCATTAATAAAATAAAGAAGCACCTTTAAAAACCTTGTCTAATCTGGAAAATGCATTAATGCAAAAGCTTAAAACCAGGGTGTAGTCAGGACAGCGAGAGGTCTGAATCTATTAAACATCCACATGTGGTCAAAAAGCTGATTCTCAGTCAGACTCAGGGGGGAGAGGTCATGGGTAAAATGGGTCACTGTTAGGGATAAGATAATACAGGTTGGACCTGTACTGGCCTTGACCATCTCATCACGTGTCAGTCAGTCGTTCAGGGTACGCAGCCAGTGAAGCTTCGTCCTTGACAATCTGTTGAACTGACAGCGGCTCAGGGGCACCACTGGTGCATTGTAAATAATTGCTGTTCACTTGTTCAGACAACATTAATGATTTTATTTTTCCCACAAAGCTAAATGACTCTGAGGGCTTTAATGGTGCAGAAGTGATTTGTGGTCTTGTGTGTCTGTCTCTGCCTGTGTTTCTTTGTTTGTTGCTTTAATGAGGCTTACTCACAGTTCTCAGGTAAAGTAAACACAGTCATTCTTCACCGCCTTGTGTTGTTTTAACCGTTGCTCTGCTGACAGCTGCAGATATACTGAACTTGGACTTTGAGATGCAAATACTGCTCTGGGAGGGTGTGAGAGCAAACTGGAGAGGGACTATTTCATTTCCCTATGACCGTTCTCCAGCCTGGCAATCATCACTGCAATCAATGCGTTTCTTCTGCACAGAAATTACATTCAAGATGCTGTTTTATACGAGTTATCACACTAATCCCTGACGACAGATGAAACTCTTGACTGAAGCTCTACTACTTAGCTCAAATGTGCATCTTGTCATTTATAACCTCCTGTTGAATTAAATATGCTGTGAGCCCCAAGGGGACAGAGTAACTGATGTATGTTTGAAATGTCAGATTAAACTTGGGGCTGAGGGGCTAAATGAATTCCTGCCTGCAAAGTAAAGACAACCCTGTGTAGATTTACACACACACAGGCGTGTATGTGCAGTCACTGGAGTTGGCCACAGAGCTCCAACATGAGGATGTAGCCTCGAAGAGTGGAGCACTGCATTACCTGACCTGCATGTAAAGCAGTCTGCACTCCCACCACCCCTCCTCCACCCCTTCTCTTTCTCATGTCGTCATCCTCTCTGTACCCCCCGCCCCCCTTCTCAATCATTCTTACTCTTTCCCCCTCAATCCTCCTCCGGTCCAGTTTAGTGTCTTAACGCTACCGCAGCCTTTTTCCTCTCTTTCTGTCTTTCTTTGTTTCTCTATTTTAAAAACACCCACACTAGTCTGCACAGTGCATTAACACTCACCCAGACAGATGCACAAAAGGCTCTGTGTACAGTTTACAGTATCGTCCACTCAGCCATCGTCTAGCCTGGGCTTCTGCCTTCTGAGCATATGCACACCGTCACCACAACAACCACAACAAACATAACAGGCGTGGAATCTAATCCCAGCTGGCACATCCTCATCCCACACACACACACACACACACACCACAATAGCCTCTGGCTTCCAGTTTCAAGCTTCCAGTCCCTTCTCACCTGCAGTGCACCTGTGCCTGTCCACCACTCCAGTCATCCCAGGCTGTCCGTCAGGTGCAGCGAATCCTCATCGCGTTTTTGCCAATCTCTCCCTCCCTCTGCTTCTCTTACCCTCCCTCCCTCTACCTCAGTCAATCTCCCTCTCTCTCCCCCTCTCTCCCTCCCTCTCTCTGTCTCTCTATCTCTCTCTCTCTCTCTGTGTCTCGCTCTCCAGTAGCACATGCGGCGGAAACTCTTTATTTAATTCATTACAACACCAGCCGATTAACTCCTTCGCAGATGGGTGCCTGGATCCTGCTGGTGCTGGCTAATTGAGCAGCGGGCTGCTTGACTGGCTGCTCTACTCCTCCCCAGCTCCTCCTCCCCCCTCCCTCCTTCCTTCCTTGCTGTCCACGCTTTGCATATCCACGAGATGACAAGGAATCCTGGGCTCTGCTGCTTCCTCCCGCGTGTTGTGAAAATGCCCCGTCACTTTAGGAAGGTCCACTCTTCCAGCTCCTGCTTACATCTTTTTTTTTTTTTTTTAACTCGTTGTTCCCCTTTCCTTCCTGTCTTCATTATTGTACAATTCCTCCCTCTCCACACAATCTGACCTTTGCAATGCGATATCCCTACTTGCCATATATGGGAGAGGTTGCCACGGCAACTACGGACTCCACTTGTCTTTCACACGCCCGCCCTCCCTCTCTCTCTCACTCGCTCTCTCTCTCTCTCTCCCTTTCATTCGCTCCCATCTCCCCATATGTGCTTTTCTGTCACGTCATTACACAGAATTTACTTTTTTTCTTTTTTTTTTTTTTTAATAATACACACACAGCAGCAGTGCTCACACAAAGGGAGAGCGTGTTTGTGTACAGTACAGTATGTCCAATACGTGCGTGTGTGTAGATACAAAAGAGTGAGAGAAAGGTGGGGAATAATAAAAGAGCAAAGGAAAAAAATTATCGCCAAGTGTTTCAAGAACTGCATTAGCGTGTGGTGTGTTCAGTAGGTTCTGTGTATGCAAGTGTTCCTGCCTTCTTCACATCTCAGCAGAGCCAGCTTTGCCCCTCTATATAAAGTTCTGCACAAAGAGAAGTTTGGCTGTGACAGTTTAATGACAACTTCTGCTAACACAAAGACCACCTGACAGCCTTGTCTCACACATTTACTCTCCCACAATTATCTCAATGAGCACAATGTGAATCATTGTGCTGCTTTCAGTCTGGATGTTATCTGACAAGAGACTTATTGTTGCCTAATGATACATATGACTCGATCTAGGTGATGGGACTTTCTGTGTCTACATGCAACACAGTTTTTCTGTTGATGCCACCACGTTAATTGCCAATAGAGAGAAGCAGTGTGAGCCAAATGAAGTGTAAAATCTCCAAAGGACAGTAAAGTGAAAAGAAAACCAGACCGATGACACGCATCCATTAATTAATAAACATTAACTTAACAATGACATTGGGATGTTTACTTCTAGCAGATATTGTAAGCAAACACTGTTGTGTTTCGGAGGGAGAAATCCTCACAGGGCTTTGAACCACATACCTGCTCACGTGCAGACCGCTCCGACGTGCCCCTCATGCTGGAATGGGAGGGTGAGGGCGATGGCGGGTTGTGGTGCGGGCTGTGGTGCGGATGCTGCAGCTGCTGCTGCTGCTGGTACTTGCTCTTCAGGTGGTCCATGAAGGCATCCCTCTTGCGTTCCATGTCAGCCTTATGCAGGTTGGTCAGAGCCTCCAGGCTCTGGGCGGCGCTGACAGTGTGGCGATGCTCCGACGTGTGCACCAGGCCCACATTGGAGAAGCGCCGAGCGCTGTTCCCCAGCGTCCGGTACTCCCTTGGATACTCCAAGTCATCTGTCGAGATCATGTGACTGCCACCACGCTCGGGATCTGAGTGATGAGGACAGAAGAGAAGAAGGGAGGATAAAGGAAAGGAAGGAAGGAAGGGAAGAAAGAAGGAAAGGGTAGAAAGTGTGCAAGGAGGAGGTGAACCAACACCCACACAAGCATGCAGAAAGAGTTCAGGGTGGAGACATACACACACACACACACCGAACAGGCACACAAAGGTGGAAACAAATGATGCAGAGAGGAGAGTGGGAAAAATTAAGGCACAGAGGGGACAGGAGAGAGAGAAAAGGGGAGAGAGAAAAAGAAAATGAGATGGGATGTTAGACTATTTGCCACCAGGACAGAGTGGTTCCCTGCAGAATTATTGATTTCAAGTTCTGAAGGGAAGAAAAATGAGAAAAGTAAAATGCTTCTGCAATAGATCAAAGGAAGAGGCTCAAACTGAATTTGTTTTGCTGGATATTCCATCGTGATATGCCTGCTTGTCATCTTAAGGGGCTTTTATTGTTTTCTTAGGAAACAGAAAAAAACAAAGTAGTGAAAATTGAGTGACTGAAAGTCAGGGGGGAAGATGCTGAAGCACTTCTTTCATTTCTGTCCTTGTTCTCTTCCACATCCACTCCTGTCCTTCTCTATGAGCTTTTCTTCCATCTTCACATCCTCTGCTACTTTCTCTACATATTCTTACTGTCTCTCGTCTCTGGAGGTTACTGATTCTGCTGTCCGTTTTTAAGGAGGTGCATCACTCTGACAGCCCTTGGCCTTTTATCAGTGCTCTAACTGACAGACAACACAGCCCAAGGTGGAAGGCACACAGGAGAGGAAGGGAGGCAGCCGGCAGGAGACAGTATGGTTACACAAAAAATATGTGACTGGAAAAGTCAATGAACGTAAAGCGTGATAAAAGAGCTGGGAGCCATTCGCCCGGTGAGTTACCTTGCTTAGGAAAACAGGCCCCGGCGTTGGCTAGAAGAGAAACATGCCAAGGGTTAATTTGTGTGTTTGTGCACAGATGTGCAACCAAACACACCAGAACACCGTCACATGAGCATCAGAAAAGCGCTATCGTGGAAGGATAGCACTTTGTCTGAATTACAATTAGTTAATGCATTATATATGCATTATAATGTATTCATAAGGGTTAACATATGGGGAAATGGTTTGCTATGAATGCTAACAGTGTCTTACAATAACCTGAAGAATGGTAAATGACAGTCATCATGCGTTTTTACACAGTAACACATATAATCATCAACTCCTAATAAACTAAGATCTGAAGCAGGTAGAGAAACAATCAATTCAGAGATGGATAATAATAAAAAAAACTCCAGTTAAAGTGAAAGCATAAAAAGTGCTGAGGCTTAATCGGGCTGAATGAAGAGGACCATCTGTACATTAAAGGCTCATCAGCAGCATTAGGATGAGCTGAGCGAGTGAGCAGCAGAGGGAGGCTCCTCGGGGCAGGAGCAACAAATGGACTGTTAATGAACGCAGACGAATAGGAGAGGAGGAAACTGGCCAGATGGAGGCTACAACGCTCTCCGATGGACAAACCTTAACACAGAGGAAGCATGTTAAGGGCAGAAGGTCTGCGATTATTCCAACGCAACCGCTGCAGTCAAACTGCGCGCCCGTCGTGAACCCACATTCATTCTCCGAGAGATATCGCACTCAAGTGTGATCAGCTGTTTCAACACCCTGCCCTTACATTCACCACATTATGAAGCGCTGATAAACTGAGCAAGGGGTGAGGCGAAATGGACTGACCTCCTGGTTAATAGCATTACCATCGAGCTCTCTGCTGCAAACCAAGGCCGCCGGACATATTCATCTGGCCCCCTCGCAGCCTCCCAGATCTCTGGTTTACACTTCATTAGGCTGGAGCTTATTGTGTATCAGCTAACAAGGATCTGACTCAAGGGCCCCATTACAATGGCTGGCAAAGCTGGGCCTATGTACTATGGCTTATTATTGTGACTGAGCATCCTCAGCAACAGTGAAAAGCTGAGTTGGCTATGCTGGCTCATAAAGTTGCGAAGAGAATGAAACACTGCATCAACAAAATCGTAATATTAACATTTATAGTTCAATTTCAGAACGTTTTAAGTCCTAACAGAAGTTAAAATCATGGATGTATTATAATAAATGCTACACAAGTTAATGGCTAACACCTGCCAAAAGAAATGAACTCAGTTGTGTTAAAATGTGCATCTCTTTGTACCCCTGGTTTGGAATACAGCCTAAAAACTTTGCAAACTGGTGTTGTGAACATATTTTGCAAAGCTGTATATAAAGCCCTCATCTTGAACACGGCGGGAATAAAAGTTGTGTGGGCAGGAGAGTAAGAATAGAAAATGGGAACAGGTTATTCATCTTTACTTCCGTCATTCAGAGCCAATATATTTCCACATAAGCTGGCAGACAATAACCCTGGCAGCCAAAACAATCTGTGCAAGCCCACGCAACGCCAGCATCATTTAAACCTACATAAAAGGGCCTTGATGGGGTGGGTTTCTGGTGGACCCTTTATCACAAGAAAGCAATGTTTGTCAGCAAGTCTGGGTCTGCAGCAGGCCAAATTGCAACTACAAAGACTCAGAGCCTCCAGGAAAAGGTGCAGCCTGTTGGTCAAGGAAATAATAGGAGGACTTGAATGACAACGGGAGCCCACAATCAGAAGCGATAAGATCTGTGAACCCCAGCCAATGAGGCCTGGGCTGCTCTGCAAAGATAGAGAGCACAGTCAAGAGCATTAACCTGACTGAATAAAAAGAGCCCGCTGCGGTGGGCGTCAAGAGATAACAGGGGAGGAGAAATTACCTGCACAGAGAAAAAGATACTGTGAGGCAGTACTTCTAACAAACCAATACAGCCTGATTAAACAGTCCAACTCAAGTTGGAAGATGAACCATAAGAAAGATGATAAATGTATATCTTAATTTATTGTTTCATATAATGTGACCCCCCCTCCCCCCAATAATTAAGATCTGACATATTCTCCCCAACTTTTTACTTTTTAGGTCACCAGTCTTCACTGCCTCAAGTGGGTTACATATATATATGTATGTATGTATGTCTGTGACATGAGGCATTTGCCAACCCACCTACAACAGTTGTACACACACACAGACACACACATGCACAGATACACACAGATACACACACACACACACACACACACACACACACACACACACACACACACACACATAATGATATTCTATATCATCACAGCCAGATCCTACTTTTTTTCTTTTTTTTTTTTTTACAATCACCTGCTGAACTGGACTCTCAGCTCAGGAGAAGAAAATGCTGCTCAACATATGCAGAGACATATGGTATGGAGAATTGGAGAAGTGGACTGGGTGTGCTTTGATGGATTTGGAGGAGGGAGGTGGAGCAGCTTCATATTTTGGGCATATTAACAAGTGGGTCAGATGGAGTGGAGGGTATAAGAGACACTTCAAGTATCCAAGAATGATAAGAAAGCTGCAGACTGCACATATGCAAACAGAGCTCTGGAGACTTTAAGAGCTACATCTAAATTCACAGGTACGTCACACATTTTGACCCTATGGCCACACAGGCAGCTACAGTACAGTCTGAAGTGACCTGAGTTACTTCTGAATTAATACTAGATTTAAAAAGGCATGTAAATATTATTTGGGATGATGCAAATATGCATATAAATGCTGTTGCCACAAAAAAGGGATATCAGCTGGAAAAAAATGGTAACTGCCGTTAACATCTACTGATTACTTTCATTATCAATCCGCGGATAATTTTCTCCCTTATTCAATAAATCATTTGATATATTTATTGGAAAATAGTGAAAAATGCCCATTATACTTTACCAAAATTCAAGGCGACGTTTTCAAATTTGTTATTTTATTCAACAAACGACAACTCAGTTAATCGTCAAAATGTTTCAGCTCTAATATCCATAGAAACTGTGAAAAAAAATGTTTTAATAAATTTGTTTGCCAGAAACCAAACAGATTGTTTTTGTGGCTGTGAAATAGTAATTACTTGTGTGTGCTGTTTAAAATGTAGCTGCGTGCTCACCCCTCTGACACATACATGGTCTCCTCAAGCTGTGATTTGTTTCGATTGTGCTTCGGTAGATGTCAGGAAATGAAGTGGGAACAGTAGGCTACATAAATAAACACAAGGGTAACAAATCGAACAACATGTCGCCAGTTTCAAGAAGTCTCAGAGACAGAACTTTCTGTCCTGACAACTTTGAAATGTGTTTGCACTTCAGAGCCGCTCATTTTAATCACCTAACGATGGCAGTAAACTCTGCATCATTTTATCAGACAAACGTTGCATTAATGAAGGCACTAAAGCCTGCCACCACATTCCTAAAGAAAGGCAATGTTTTGTAAGTGTGTGTACGTGTGAAATTGTATGTTTAGTAATGGCAACACATTACCATTTTCTTGTTACTATGTAATCTACTGTGATCTGTGTCTCACAGCTCTTTCAACACAGTTCTCATCACTCTTTTAAATTAATGTGGCAATATGCATTTCTTTACCTTTGTATTCATAACGTATTGTTTGTCAGTTCAAATGTGCTTTTTAACGTATGCATTCTAAGAACTGACATAAATGAAATCTTCACAAAGAGGAAATACACAGGGCAAACAGGCAGTCACTGTCATCAGCAACAAAACCACGCAGAGAGGCTGAAGTCTTTCATTTAAATCTAATTTCACTTTTTTGTTCTTTGTCTCATATTCATATCAGATTATTAAGACATGGCCTTTAATATTTAAGTTTTTATTACATATGCACTTAAACCAAGCATTCAGTCATCTATCTTTTTAATTATCTTTCTGTTCTTGTCAGACTTTTTTTTATTTTTTTTTCTGTAAGGGACACAATATTGTTGGGTCTACTTTATATTATTCTCCTATGTTGAATTGTTTTATTAAAAGAAGCCTTTTTTTTCCTCAAGTTTCTCTGGTAGTGCAGTGTCCAGACCAGAAGCTCTGTTGTTATTCTCATGGTTGGGAGAGGCAAGGGG